TGATAGTGTGTCTGTGTATACATCAAAATGTCAGTGTGCACATCTAAATATTAATGTGTCTGTGTGTACATCTAAATATTAGTGTGTGTCTTTGTTCAGATCCAAATGTTAATGTGTCTGTGAGTACATCTGTATGTGTGTGTGTGTGTCATGAGCAGATCGAAATTAGCTCCGGGAGGGGTTTGCCGCGGCGTCCAGATGGTGTCCTGATGGCGTCCCGATGACGTGGTGTCCTGATGGCGTCCCGATGACCGTGGTGTCCTGATGGCGTCCTGATGACGTGGCGTCCTGATGGCGTCCTGTTGGTCAGCAGACAAGGAGAAGAGACGTGAGGAGGATACATCAGGATGTGTCTGTGTGTACATCTAATTGTTAGTGTGTCTGTGTGTACATCTAATTGTTAGTGTGTCCGTGTGTACATCTAATTGTTAGTGTGTCCGTGTGTACATCTAATTGTTAGTGTGTCCGTGTGTACATCTAATTATTAGTGTCGTCTGTGTGTAGATCTAATTGTTAGTGTGTCCGTGTGTACATCTAATTGTTAGTGTGTCTGTGTGTTTACATCTAATTGTTAGTGTGTCTGTGTGTACATCTAATTGTTAGTGTGTCTGTGTGTACATCTAAATATTAATGTGTCTTTGTGTACATCTAAATATTAGTGTGTGTCTTTGTTTAGAACCAAATGATAGTGTGTCTGTGTGTAGATCTCATTATTAGTGTGTCTGTGTGTGTGTCTGTGTGTGTGTGTGTGTGTGGGGGGGGGGTCATGAGTAGATCTGGATTTGCTCAAGAGGGGTTGACGTGACGTCCTGATGGCGTCCCGTTGACGTGGCGTCCTGATGGCGTCCTGATGACGTGGCGTCCTGATGGCATCCTGATGGCGTCCCATTGGTCTGCAGACAAGGAGAAGAGACGTGAGGAGGATCATCAGGATTCATAGATCCAATTATTTTAATTTGATGCACATTTTAATTATTTCATGTTTGTATGGATGTGTAAATCTACATTATATATTTGTGGTTGTTAAACTGTATTTCTGTATTTGCTTTTTATGTTTAGCTAGTCTCTCTGCATACCGATATGTTAGTGCGTCTCTGTGTAAGTACTTTTTACATTACATTTCATTTAGCTGACGCTTTTATCCAAAGCGACTTACAATAAGTGCATTCAACCATAGGGTACAAACTCAGAAGTGCAATTTCCTCAAATAACTTTTATATGTTAGTGCGTCTCTGTGTAAGTACTTTTATATGTTAATGCGTCTCTGTGTACATCTACATGACAACAGCAGGAATCAGAGGTTTATCTCAAGGTATTAGCTCTAAATTACAGCCTTCTCCACCCGATAGTCCAATACATCATTCACAGCAGTAAGGCTGCAGTCTGTCTGGATTCCTCACTTACCTTGAGCTCTGTTAAGTGCAGCAAAACGCGTCTTCGTGCCCTCTACAGACTCCTGAGGCATTACATGGTTGCTTGTGTAGGTCCGGAAAACTTCAGTGTGTAGATGGGAGGTTTGAAACTGACTGACTGGATGTGCACAGACTGTGTTCTTATGCTGTGGTGAACGGAGCATAGAACATGGAACATGGAACATGGAGAAATGTTCCATCATGATGTAACGTCTCTATGGTTACAGTGACGGTATCAACAATATGCAAATGAGCCTTTAGAGTAAATGTGTGTGTGTGGACGGTGTATTTGCATTGATGGAGCTCATCCACTTGACATGGTGCATAAAACACTTTGCTCTACTTGTTTTTTTCTATGACCCCATCTTGATCTTGAAAGCGAAACACTTTAAGAATAAATAAAGAACGATTTTTGTCCATTGTTTCATCAAGTCGGAAATTTGTAAACTGTCGAATCCGGATTTTTAAACATCCCTTTCGAGCCCTCTTGTCTCCAGTCGTCATGCTAAGCTAACCAGCGGCTGGCTTTAGCTTCACGTTGAGCGTGCAGACATGAGAGTAGGGATGAGTATCGTTTGGGTTTTTACGATACCGATCCTAAACAGCCTGAACCCAAACACAACTGAAGAAAAGTTTTTTTTCACTTCAAACTATGCACAATATATGAACTTTTGAAAGTTTACAGTATGATTACAGTGTTTCCCCTCTGTAACAGCGGAAGTGTAGTTAATTGGAATTTACGGAATATTAATCATTTAATTTGAGATTCATGTTCATTGTGCAGGAACTAAAGACATTTATTGAAAAGCATTTACGTTAGATTGACGCTCCTTGTTTGTCTCAAAGTATTGACGTGCAACACAGAAGAGCTGCATGAGGCACGAGAGCACATCGCTTTTCTATTGTGTAGAGAAATAAATACGAATAGAAAGTAGATGGCTAGCTAGCTGCTGTAGCTACACAAGCGGTGAGCCATCGTTAGCTGCTGCGAGGACAGAGTTATCAGGCTGTTTCATTAGGGTGACCAAACGTCCTCTTTTCCCCGGACATGTCCTCTTTTTGAGACCTAACAAAAACGTCCGGGATTTTGCTTCGTCGTATATTTGTGTTTCTCTGGGTCTTTCACAAACTAGTTATTACGCCCATACAAGTGTTGTAAATGGTGTCTCACTTACGTTCCACCTTCTTTCGCGAGCTCTGACTGTAGAGAGAACAGTCATTGGTCGACCGATCTCAATGTTGCCAGATACACGATAATTATCCTCCAAATACGACCATTTTGAGCCTTTGGTACGAGACTTCACCATTTCCAATCTGGCAACACTGAGCACTTTGCCGCCTCCACTAGCTGCGTTGTTTACAGCACGTGACATCTGCAGACATGCCGAAACTAAAGGTAAGTTTACGGACGAACTAACAGAAAATACCCATGTTTTCGCCTCGGCCGTGATGCTTCGGAAGCTTTTCTTATTTTAATATGAGGCTATATAAAGCATTTACTATTTATTATTTGTTTATTTGTATCATTATTGCTTCAATATGTGGACAAGACACATTAAAGAAGCGCTGGACTAAATCCCACAAAAAAGATTTGTTTTACATTTGCACTTTTCAGTTTTGTTAAAGTTCAATAAATAGATGTTCATATAGTCATTTGTGTCATTTTTGTCATTTCATTTCACCAATATGGCTCCGGTGCTCGGTACATAATCCTCCATGAGAGTGGTCAAATCAACTATTGCTAAGTAAAGGTTTGGAATAGCTCAAATTCAACGAACAATATCCATTTAAGCCATGGTGTAGTCTTTGGCACTGCGTTTATTGGAGGCTGTTTAAGCCCTAGATGAGAAAAGTGCCCCTTCTGCTGGAGCACAATTGTTTCTTCAATCATCAAAATTTTAGAATAACTATTACTCGCACTGTCATCAAATCCCCCCAAATGTGTTGACATTCGACGGGGCATTTATACGAACTGCTCCGCGGCGCCCACAAGCCGTGCTCCTTCCTCCTTCCTCCTCCTCCTCCGCCTAGTGCTCGTGCAGTGCTGACACACAGGTGATGACGGTGTTTGTGAAATCCCCCGACGTCGTTTAGTGGTAAATTACTACCAGTACAGATAGTTTTAGGATGAAAATAAAAGAAATAAGCCTCGCCACAGCTCCGTCACTTTCTACCCTGTCTCCTCCACCTGTCACTCACCTAATCAGTTCATTCAGTGCACCTGCTAGTCACAAACACTACTGAGACATCACATATAGGCAGTGCTGTAGTGGTAAAATTAGAGGTGGGTAAACTCTGAATTTTGTGATCATACAGACCTCGACGCGATGCGAAGCAACGCAACACAAAGCGTCGCGACTCTGTAAGGCTGTCCTGGCTATATTGCATTATGTTATCAGTAAAAGTCATATACAATCAATGACAATGAATAAATGTGTTAGTAGTAAAACAGTAAAGAAAAGTATGTCAACACAACACAACAAGACAATTGCAGATTAAGAACTATGTACATACGGAGTCTCCCTTTTACAGTAGTGCCCAGAGGGCCTCCTCGTCCTCCACGTCAGGTCCTGCCTTGCACAGGACACGCGTTCTGGGGTTCATGGCTCCTCTGTGCTTCTCTCTATTGGACCTGGTGTTTCTCCTCTCCCTGTGCTCTCTGCATCATTGCCTGTCCTCTCACTGCCTGAAAAAATATGTTGAATTTAAGAGTTAACCAGTTAAGCAGCCTGTCAATCACACTGACAACATAAGTTAAAGGAACACTCATGTACTACCTATGTCATCATAAATAGCCTACAGCATGTTTTTTTTCACATTAATAACTGACTTGTTTTCTAATCTCCAGAGCAGAGCTACCACCTCTTTCTCTCTGAAGACAGCCTGTGAGTCACCAAGCGTTTACTCATCTCACCTAGTTTGCCACAATTTGCCTTCACGCACACAAAAAGAAGAACCCACATTCATTGTCGTGTGTTTCTTTGGTCAAGTCTCACAAACCTAACCCTGCGGAATAACCGTATCGGAGACGAGGGAGCCCGTCTGATTGGTTTGGCTCTCTCAACAACTAGATCTGCCAACAAGAACCTAATTTACCTAAATCTGGCTTTCAATTGTATCGGTGATGCCGGTGCTGCACATATCGCACAGGTATAACCATCAACAGACTCCATATTTGCACCTATATCTTCACCTCATGACTGCTGAGGTGTACATAGTCTTCTTCCTGTTGTGTCTCTCAGGGCCTGCGGTTCAATCGTGCTTTGCTCGCGCTCTCACTGTGCAACAATCATATCGGAGACCAGGGGGCTCGTCACATGGCTGCGGTATCCAAGATTTTAACTTGGCATATAATGCATTGAAATCTGTAGTTGGATTGTTTCAAATTACATTTAGCTAATTGCATTATATTCCGTAATTTAATACACCTTCATCTCTTTACCATAAAACTTTTAGATTCTTAGCGAGTTTGCTCTCACTCATGACGAAATTGTGGAGAAGAGGAAGATGCTTCTGGAAAGAAAACAGCGTGTAAGTAGAGGAAAGTCAAACCACCACTCTAACTTAAAACCAATCACAATCCTAGACATCAAAATGTGTTGAATTGACATAATTTCAAGAATTGAAAGTCTTAAAAGCGCAGACTGGTTCTCACTGGTGTAACAGGGAGAGGACAAGTCAGAGACATTCTAATAAAACACATTAAAACTATATTTCCAGTCGTCCGTAGGGATTGAATCTGACCAGCCTGCAGACCAACTTTCCTCAGTAGCCAGCAGCAGTTCACAGAGCGTTGGCAAAGGGGCAAACCAAGGAAAACAAAAGGTAACAAACCAAAAATCTTTGTAATTGGTGTAACTCATTTGGTATCTGTGGTTTGTAATTCAGTAATTAAGTAATGCTGCCATCTTTTAACTTACAGAAAGAGAAGAAAGCTCCTAAGGAAGAGAAGTCTAACAAGAAATGTGACCGAATAAAACGTTTTTTATCATCCATTGACAGCTGAGATGCAAATCTTCTCATTTTCATTCATTGCTGTCTCTTTAAATCTTTCCCCCCAGCTTCTGATATAAAAGTGACTCCAAGTAAAGGTGGAAATCCAGAGAAAGCACTGAATGCGCAAAAGGACGTTCCTCTGAAGCTGCGTGTTCTATGTAGCCCAGCACACGAAGACACGACAGTACCTTTAATCATTTGGTTGTTTTACTTTGTTTTTATGGCAGGATAAATCAAATACTGCCCAGTGAGCAAACAAATTTAAAAATCTAAAATCTGGTCCTTTTCACACACTTCTTCCCTCCCTCTCAGCCGGTGGAGCCGGTGGAGCCCCTGCTGGACGAGCCCGTGCACTACAGGGACGGAGAGCTTTTTATGTCTGGAAACAAGGCGCTCACCTCCCTCAACTTGGCAGGTCAGTAACTGTGGAGTGTTCATCTGGGCCTGAAATGAAACAGATGGTGTTGTTTTTTGTCTCCATATCAATTATACTACATTTTTTAGAAACCCTACACATAATATTTTAATCAACTAATTTGTTGAGAAAAAACACATAATGGTTATTTTTTATTATTATTAATTAAATGATTATTTATTGTTTAGGAAACAGAATAACACAGAGGTCGCTGCCTCTTTTCCTGGAGTCACTCATGATGCAGGGGGAGGGACGTCGCCTGCTGCGTCTCTGCCTGCAGGTGTGTGTCTCAAGCTGACATTGTGTGTCTGTGTGTGTTTCTCTGTGTGTGTCCACAGTCCACTTTAGTTCATGAGTCGATATTACAGTAACTTGGATAAAAGATTTAACTAAAATTATTACTAGCTGTATTGTGTGTTGATGTCTGATCTGTCTTTTAGAGAAACTGCTTCCCACCAAGATGTGAGTGTTATGTGAAGATACAGAAACTGATGGACCTCAGGGATCCACTCAAAAGAGCTTCTTAATGAGCACAAGGAAGAACAGCTGAGAGGACTAATCTTGTATATGTTTTGTATACATACATTAAGAGTACATAACCTTATTTTACCCCGTTGTGCTTTTGTAACACGTGAACATTGAGGTATTCACAGAAACAGTCTTGTGGTACATTAAAGCATCGACTGTACAGGAGGACAATGAGGCCTATTAAATTCCAGATGCTTTTCCCAGGACAGTTCTTTAGGACCCTGGTTACAGATCCCTTTACTGCTTTGTGTTGCTCACAGTCAGAGTTTACATCAAGGACAAAAACTGGGAACAATCAGATACCAAGTAGGTGAGCCTTTGCGGTCATATCTTACAGTTTTCAGCAGGGTGACGGGTACTTATGGTTTTATCTGGTTCTAGGACTTAATTGTTGGGTAACTTCTATAGAGTTTAACTTCATTCGCTGGTGAAAAAAAGACATGAGTAATTTCCTCGGTTTTTAGCATCATTAAGTCATAAAAACAAACAAAAGTGCTCTGGTACTGAATACCACGGTTATTGCTGAACTCAATCTCCTGTCTATGGTAATGGAATTGACTTGTTTCATGCACAGTTTCCTCTGTATTGTTATTGATACATTTAATCTAGTTTTGATGGTAAAGGTCACTTTTTCTGAATGCTGAATTTAACGTATATTATCAAAAGGACAATGATACCCTAAGTGGATTGTTGTTGTTTTTTCATTAGGAAAGAAAATACGATTACATACTTTATGGAAAGTCAAGTGTTTGCATCAGCTGGAAGATTAACTTCTTCTTCATCTTTGTTCAGCGCCACCAAAACCATTCAGACTCATCCCTTTACTCCCCGTTGAAATCCAACTCATGAACTAAAAATAAGATTGCTACATATTATATTATTATTATGAATAAATAAATATTATGTCTCATTGCTTACTTCCAAAAAGATTTTGCTTCGGTGAGTTTCACAAAGTACCTTGAAATGTCCTGGAAAGAGAGTTCTTTGTAGGCAACGTTCAGAGTTAAGAGGTTCAAAGAACATTTTGAACTTAAATAGCCGATAACCATATTCGTTCCAAAAGAAGTATTTGTGTCAAAGTTGATCAGAATACGAAGGCCCTTTCAGAATAAATGTGCACACAGCAGCAGAAGACATGTGATGTAGAGTCATCTGTTACGCTGACATTACAATTCACCTTCTAACTTTAAAAACACCTCGTTTTTGAACAAGCTTGTTGATCCAAATACTGGAAATCTGGAAATCAAAGTGATTAACTCGATGAGCTCACGCAATTGTCATGAAAAAAAACCCTGCCATATTTAGCTGGATCGTTTTAGGAAAGACTCCTCAGTCTGTTGTTGAACCAAACAAATATTTACATTATGTTACACAGCGTATTTTCTTGCAGAGATCATACAAACCCAACAACAGCAGTCTAATTTCGACCTGTCATCATCTTTGTCACAGAATTATCATCATGTAAATTTAAAACGTGTCAGCCAAGAATCATTTGAATTGCCCTAAGTGCCGATCTGCTGCGGCTAATAATGAAAATCTTGTTCAGTACATTAATACCTTTCAATAATCGAGGGATGACGAACGTTTTCCTTTTTTATGCAACATAAGAAAATTTGCTTTTATTATTGAAAAAAGGCTAATTATGTAACGTTAGTTTATCATAAAATTACAATATCCGTTTTTTATTTCTACTTTTCCTCGGAGACTCATGTTTTCTTTTTTTGATCAAAATAGTAAGGAATCTGTCGTTGTACACCGTATTATATTCATTATAATAATTATAATAATAGGTATTAGGACAAATCTAAAAAACGTCTGTCCGGCAGAGGGATCCCATTGGTGCATAGAGGGCGCAGGGAGGAGCCTCACCTCACCAACATGGCTGTCACGTCCTGTGAACTTCGTCACGTCCGGTTCAGGCTCAAAGGATCCACCGATATCAACCCGTCGCTTCCGGTAATGCCTCCTTTTCGGCAGCGGCTTTTTCCTCGCCAACATGCCAGTGAGTATCCGCAGGCTGTTGTAAAATGACATTTTTAGCATCTAACGCCGCGTTGGAGGGCCGCTTCACGGCTCAATTGTTACGCAGGAACATAGCGATTCGGCCGGTCTTCATTTCAGACGCTTCCGTCGAGTTTTGGTTGCAGTTCTACGCGAATAATTGAGCTTATTTGAGCGCATTGTGACACAAGATGGCTGCGCGCACTATGCGAACATGGAGCCTGCTCCACGCTGCACCCGAACGTGCTTACAGACGCATGGATTCAACGTTGAACAGACATCATTTACTCTGGATTAACGCGGACACGTTGATGGTCTTAATATTTATTAACTCGGCCCCCGATGTGTAGCTTTACCCGAGATTGAGGTAAAATGCGTAGCCCGCGTTACCTAAAGGCATGTTAGCTGTTAGCTAGGCCGGGAGCCCGAGCGCACCAACGCATCGCTTATTTTGCTCAATAAAAACAAGCTACATGCACAATTAACTGTCAATGTAACCAGTTTAATACACTTAAATGAAGAGTTATTTTTCCGTATAATAGCCCGGGCAATGCCTTTAAAAAAACAAACAGTTAAGCTTCTTCTGTGTTTCACCAACCCTTCGTTCGCTCTTCTAAATGCAGCTCGCAAAGGACTTGTTGCACCCGTCCCCCGAGGAGGAGAAGAGGAAGCACAAGAAGAAGCGTCTCGTACAGAGTCCTAACTCTTACTTCATGGATGTGAAATGTCCAGGTACAGTCTTCCCTCCATGGTTCAGTGGCGTCACACTTCATCGAGTGTCTTCCAATATTGGGTCTGGATTCTGCAAATCTGTGCGTGACAGCTGACAGGACCTCGTCCAGAGGCTTTGCAGAGGCGACCAAACAAGGAAACCGCCATACAACCTCCTAAGCCATAATATTGATTATTATGATGGCCACATTTTAATCCGTGTAAATTCACCCCATTGTTTTATTTGTGTTGTGCTTCTGACCCAGGAAAACGGATCATTTTATCATACATGCAACATGTTGTAAAATCTGCAAGGCCGCACTGCCAAGTGACTGGACGTCCTCCCCCGTGGTCTTCCGATCTCATTTCAGTGCCAGAAAGACCTCAGTTAGCAGAAGGGTTGAGCTAAACCAGTGGCCCCCCCCTTTCGAAGACTGAGGACAAATATACTTTGTTTATAGCCACGTTCAACTCCCGATACTGTTGATGGCCCATGTGGCTTCGCCCAGCTCATCTAATGCATAATAGATGTTGGTTCTTCTTCCTCGAGTTGTAACTGGTGTCCTGTTTGCCTTCTCCTAGGATGCTACAAGATCACGACAGTGTTCAGCCACGCTCAGACAGTCGTGCTGTGCGTTGGCTGTTCGACGGTCCTGTGCCAGCCCACTGGAGGCAAAGCACGTCTCACAGAGGGTCAGTACCAACCACCCACATGCACTTCACGCAGATCTCCCGCCACATTTAGTTGTCGAAGGCAATTGGTGCAGCGCAATATCGTACCTTCAAGTCCACCATTTTTAGGCTGCTGAACAATCACAAATGTTCTTTAGCAACATCAAAGTGAACGTGTGGTGATTTGTTTCATTGTTGAGTCAAGCGTTTGGAAAATCCCTCAACAGCAACACAACATAGAATAAAGGAGAAACTATTCTTATCACTTCTGCATTGGACTGTTCTCTTGTTCGTTCGTCTCACACTTCATTAAACGTCATCCTGTATTTGGTCCCGATTCTAAAACTTTGGACATCAGCCAACCAGGACCATCCTCTGGGGTTTCCCTGCATTGTGCTGATGATCAGAACTCACACCATGGACGAAGAAAATACAACCACCTGAACCATTGATTTCACTTTATCTAGGCCAGTGTGACAGAACGATCTTTTTTTTTTTTTTTAATAATTTTTGCTTCTGACCCTGAGAAACTGGGCGTATGTATTTTCTATGTATCATATTGTGAAATCTATTGGCCGCACTGCCAAGTGACTGGACGTCCTCCTCCGTGGTCGTCCGATCTCATTTCAGTGCCAGAAAGACCTCAGTTTGCAGAAGGGTTGAGCTAAACCAGTGGGTCCCCCCTTTCGAAGACTGAGAACAAATACACTTTAAGCCATTGTTTTAACTCTTAATGGCTCTCCATCATCTGATCTTCACAATTTAATTTGTGTCGGGTTTTTTGCCGGCAAAGGCCATAGCTACAGTTTTCCCTACTTGGATGTGATCTTGACGCAATGTGAACAGACGCCTCTTGGACCGGCACAGCGGCACACTAGCCGGGTGCGGTCTTCTGTCTGACCACCATTTGTCTCCTCTGGCAGGGTGCTCATTCAGGAGGAAGCAGCACTAGCGGTTCTCCCGGAGCTGAAGGAGAGGAGGGAATGGACCGGTGGATATCAGCGCCTTCGGCCTCGCTACATGGCGGCAGACCCAGCGGTCTGATCTGACATGACACCTGAAGACCGACTGGACAGCAGATGGATTTCCGCTGTTCCCTGTGGACAGATGGGTTGTTGCTGTAACTCTGCCCTCCGACCCCGTCTCTCTTAATAAAATGTTTTTGGCTAAGGGAATGGTTTGTTTCGTTCCTTTTATTGTCGGACATTCAATGCAACAAAGTAGCATTTTATATTTAATACTCAAGTTCTCTAACTATTTAAAGCATCCAGATGAGAAATGCCACAACACACATTTTACATAAGTACTTTAACTCGTAACCTTTTAATGTAAGAAGTCTGGTCTAACATGACTTAACTTTTATTAACGCACCACTTATTGAAATATTTTGAGTACTTATGTCAAAATATATTTAAGTCATAAGTATTTAAAAATACTATTAACTTTTTTAACTTGTTGACATAGTACAAATCTTTTCAAACTTTTTAGCAAATTATTATGATGCGATGACTTTTGTTACGTTTTAAAATAACATACTTTGACTATCTCTCTATGTGTGTATATATAATATATATATATATCAGGCATAAAAATCCCTCACATTTCGTCGAAATTCGCCGTTTTGAAACCAAAATAGGTGACCTACGTCAATCGTGTAGATTCGATGAGTTTTTTTTGGGGGGGGTATTCATAGTCAGTGAATTGCGAACAGGGTGAGTGGTTTTAATATTTTCTGGTATATCTAAGTTACCCGGGAGCTTTGTTGACATACTTAGCTAGCTTAGCATAACGTTAGCTACAGCTTGATGAATTGTCATTGAACACGTCAGCTGGAGGACGGAGGCTCGGGGTCGTTTTCAGTGCCGTCTTCCAGCAGTCTGATCTGAAGTAAAACCCGACGACAAACTGCACAGCGGATGCGTTTCCGCACGTTTCTATTTGCCTTGAATCTCCATCTGCAACTGATGTTTTGGCTGAAGTGTGTTTGTTACGTTTCCTGTTTGAAGGAAGGAGTTTCTCTGCTTTCTGAGACATTTAATACAGCGGCAGTCATTTTACAATATTTATTAGAAAGTGGTACTAGTTCTGTCAGTTTACATTTGAATATTTCAACATCAAACCACACTTCAATGTATATTATTTTCTCTACATGATAAAAGGAAAGTGCAGACTTTACAGGTTACGGTACTCACTAACATTGAAGTGATGGTTCGTGTATTGATCAGGGCTGTGACGGTTTGTCAATAAAACATCACAAAACAGTAGAAAAAAGTTATTTTAACAGTCCATAACCCATTTGCTAACATATATGACCAAGAAAAACAGCAAATCCAATTTGTCCGTATAAAATTAATTGTTCACATTTCGTGGCAAGTTGTTATTTTACTATCAGTGTTTACATTTTTTCTGTCATTCCAGCGAATACGTAAAAGGCCTCCATAAGAAGGTAATCGTGACTGATTTCTACAGTTTGGTTTCATGGTATTTCTGCTACAGAAATGACAACGGACACACCTCTGTGCAGTTTGATACGAACATGTGTCTGCTTACCTCTTGTAAGAGTAACATCCCGGCCTGGTTATTATAGCTGTATTAAAGGCAGAAAAATCCTTTATTTCTTTATTTCTACCTGTCTACGCTTGCACCAGCGCTCTCCGTCTTCGACTCCCTCTCCCTGAGCAGGTGGCGGATGGAGGAGTTCTGCGTGGACAAGGTGTTGGACAGCAGCGGCATCAGGCTCCTGAAGCCCTCCCTCAACTCCTCCACGTGCTTCTCCAGGCTGTGGATGTGTGAGTCCAGCTCCCCCCTGCAGCCCTGCACCTCCGACAGCACGTCAGACATCTGGTTTTGCATCTACGTTGTTGTCCAGAGTTGTGTATAAAGGTCCATGTAGGGAGGAGAAAGATTAGTTGCCACTTTTTCTGCGTGTTTTTTGCCGGTTTGAGGTTTAAAACGATGCATTCACTTGCCTCTCTCACCTTGCATAAGTCCACAAGCGAGTTGCCTTGGTCTGCCAGTATTCTCTTCTCTATCTTCACCTGGCGCAGCCTGCACACACAACTATTTAGTTTCTCTTGGTATGATACTGCTACTTTTATGAAATGAAAAATGTGAGGAGAAAATGTAAAGGGCCAGTTGACCCACATTACTAATAAACATGAAATAAACGTAACATATTGTTTCTGGCAGAGCAGTTCCAGTAAAAACTGTTTACAGTGTGGTGATTCTGTTGATTTTTTAGTGTGGTGTTGATTAATAATTGCATTGCGCAGTAAGATACAACATTAGGGCAGTAGCGAACAGCTTTATGTCTTGTCATGTTAAAATGATGTGGATAGTTTTATATGCTAAATGCTGAGGCACAGGGCTACGAGGATGAAGCACATTCTGTGTGGAATTGCAACGTTTAATGGAATTGAGATGCAGAAACGTTGCAGCACCCTATAACTTCTTTTTGGACTTTTTATGGCATGCTATATGTAACTTTTTAATGATTTCTTCATTGCATACTATATTATGAATTTTTAAAAATGGTATTTAAATGGCATCAAGTAATCTGACTTTTATATTGCACTTTGAAACAGCACACTGAACTACAGCTACGTCCTGGTTCCCCGTGTACATGAACAGCGCTGCTACCGGTTTGGGGAATGTCGGTTAAGGGAACTTTCCTTCACAAAAGTCAGAACATACAACGTCACCAAAGCAGACATACTGGACTACGACGTTCTACAACACACTATACAGTGTCTTACCACATTAGGATGTTTTTTTCATATTCTCCATTACTTTTTATGACATACTATATCATCACATTTTATGGTATAAATATAGCATACTAAACTATGACAGCTTTCATTAAAAACAACTAAAAACCATTACATGTTCATGTGAATTGGTTTAAAAGACCCGTCTTTAAGCTTCAGGGTTTTCAAAGCAATACACAGATATAATTGTTATTAATAATATTACTGTACAATCATAAACTAAACGAGGCAGGTGAGCAGCTTGGATGGAGGGTTCAGCGTCTTACTGGTGGATGGCCAGGAGCAGCTTCCGTTGGTGCATGCGGACTCTGCTGTGGTCTCTCTCTCTGGACAGCTTAGTGTGTTTGTAGATAAGCCAAGTCTCTCTTACCACATTTGCCGCAGCAATTTTGATCTAGTGAAAGGACGAAAAAGAAGAAGTTAGGTGTCTTGCTCAGGGACACCTCAACATGGGGCAGCCAGGACTTAAACCACCAACCTTGCGGTTCCCAGCACACCCTCTCTACCTCTGCACCGCGTCACATTTACTGTAAATACTGAACAACGCCATAGTAACTAACTCTGTGTAATACAATCTCAACTAAATTTTCGAGCCTAATTTTTCTGCACAAAGTGAAACAAATCTATTTCATTATTCTGTTTCGGATGAAAATTCTATGTTTTTTATTTTTTTCAAAAAAAGCAGATGCTGCTATAGTATTCTGTAACCTATTTGTATCCATTTAAACCTATTTCACTACATCTGCATCGTTTACTTGTTCTTCTACATTTTCGGAACTCAATGAAAATGAGGAAATACTTATTTATAGAGTGCAGATAGTTGTGTGTTATTGGTTACTATGAGTTGATATGTGGTATGTGGAGTGTGTAAGTGTAAAACATAAACTGTTGGTCTGCACAATCTCTCTCATTTCTGGGCTTATTTAATTATAATACATCGTAAAATAAAGCCACGCTGAGGGAGGTACTAGAACATACCCTCTTGGAGATGTGTGAGTCCATCATAAAGTTGTGAACATGTTTCTCAGCTCTGGACAACTCCAGTTTTCTGGCAACGACGGCCACCACCAGGACTGTGCAGCCAGCTCCCTACAACACAACCAGACACGTTTATTGGGTTTTCAGTGAGAACTTTGTGGAAGAGGAAACTATCTACTTGCTGTCTCACCATTATCCCGGTGAGGAGACAGATGCTTCGACCACAGTAGGTGTGAGGCACCACGTCTCCGTAGCCGATGGACAGGAAGGTGACAGAGACCATCCACAAGGCCTCCATGTAGTTGCTGCTCAGGTCCCTGTAGTTGTGGTGTCTGTAGGAATTAAAAACATATGAAATTGTTATATTTTCATGCAGCTTTTATTTTGTCTTTTTCTGGCCTTAAATTATGCTTTAGTGAACTTACTGTAGCTGAATGTGACGCAGGAATGAACCAAACATTGTTTTTATCTGCTCTACTTTCACATTACTGGTGTTTTTTTCCCTCCTAATTTACTATGCATTTTGTATTATACCATATTACCCCCCGAAAAACTCAAACTATCAACAGCTGTGATGTTTGGTTTTGTCGGGGGGCATTCAGCCAGTACAGAAATATTACATTAGTGTGCAAATGTAATTTGAAGTGTTTTTGGATGAAGTATAAAATGTAAATGCCTTGAGCACTTTGAACACTACGGATCCAGCAGTTATTACATTATCACTTACCTCTCACAAACATGCAAACCCCACGCTGCCACAATCCACAGAGACACACTGAAAATCATCAGCACAGTCCCGGGGTAGGTGGTCATTAGCGTTTTCCCCACAAACCGGGTGTTGAATCGTATCTAAAGATCACAAACGGGATGCATTTGCGTCACGATTTTGACGGACTATTTAGGATAGCATCTGTCAGATTAGGGTTATATAATACAGAAGAGATGAGGGATAAGAAAACTTGTTCTCAGTCTGGCTTGGTACATGGATAGTAGGTTTGGCAATGCGGTGGGGAAACAAAGGTCATTTTAATCACTCTTAAATAGCATTTATAAGGAAAGGGATTAGCCGGGTGCATATATTATCAAGCAAAGGAGAGCCAGCGGGGGACGTAACTAACATGTGAAACCACTGGGATTAATGGGGACAAAACTGTAACAGTCACACCTCAATTGTCACACCTTTACAGACCCCTCGGCCCACCTAGACATAAGACATAAACAGATGTGCATGAAATGTTCATGGAGGAAGCCCAGTCAAAATCACTTCCCAGAATACAAACTTTCCCATGAATCACTTCCTTTAGCAGGTTTCTCAGTTTTTAAAATATATCAAAATTGACACTGCAAGTCCTCTTTCATTTAAAAAACGTACGATGGCGGTTCCGTGAGGCCCGCGGGAGACGTCCTCACCTTGTTGAGCGCTCCGATGCTGCGAGACGCGGTGTCGGTGAGGAGGCGGCTGTGCAGGATCATGGCGCGGCCCAGCAGGTAGAGCCTGAGGAACATGGGCAGGGCCAGGACGATCTCCAGCTCCGTCTCCGACAGCATCAGGCGATTCGCCGAGTGTTGGAAGGTCTCCTGGAAGTACGCCATCAGGCCCACTGGGTATGGATGAATGGCGGCCGTTGCCAGCTCCAGGCACACCAGGGCCAAACGATCAGTTGTCATGGCAATCCGCCAATCCTCTGCACCAATGTCGTGAACGTAGAGCTTCCAGAGAGATGGGCAGAGGGCATTACAGTGAAAATGAGCATCCAAGGTATGTCTGGAGGTCACAAGATGTACACTGTGACACATTTTACTGTGTTTTAGTCTCAGAAGAGTATTGATTCCAGTGATGTCACAAAATATCAGACACAATGAGAAGGAAAAATAAGGTTTTTGTTCACAGAACCGTGACCTGTGATATAATAAACTTTACAAGGCTACCAGACCAAAAGGTTGATAACTTCAGTGCCTCTCGCTTAGTAGATGAACATAACGACTACAGAATGATCCCTGATTGCATAATTATGAGAAGATGTTACCTGGATCTCACAGCAGTGGTAGGCGATGATGAGGCCCAGCAGGATGATGGTGGAAAAGCTGATGATGGACTTGAGTGCGAGGGAGTAGACCGAGCTCTGTGGGCAACAAATACACAGCATTATGGTCACGCTCATAACGGTTTGGCATTACAAAGCTCATTCTATGAAATAACATCAGAGATTCCATGCAACGTTTGGATAATCCATGTGCATGATGTAATGACCACGATCTTATTTCCCTACTGACTAAACTAATTATATTTATTTTAAAGTGCTGCACAGATCCAGACAAATGTACAATTTGACAGTTAACAGTTTCCTTTGCAGACAAAGAAAGTGAGATGTGTGATATGTTATTAATCTAAATTCCAATTAGGCAGAACAGCTCTGATAAAAACTAATTATCTAGCGGAGTCTTTTTTAGTGATTACTGATGCATTTCGATTTTTTTCCCCTTGACTCTCGCAAAACGTTACGTTTGTCGAAGGATTTCACAGAGCTCTCGGTGTGGCCTTCCCGTCTTTCTGACCTTGCTGTAGACGCTCCAGGAGAGCTCCGTCTCCATCACCATCAACAACATCCCGAATATCCCCACTGCCAAGGCGCAGTCATTCAGCCGCTGCCTCCTCAGAAACAGAGCCCTCCTGTGGACCAGCCGCCAGCCAATGCTGTGGGTCTTCCAGTACGAGTCGGCTTTGCCGTCCTCGCTGTGTTTCGGGCTGTTCTGGGAGTCGCTGTCGGGGCTCGGCCCGGGGCCCTCCGCTCCTGGCAGAAGGCCCCGAGCCCCCGTCGGGTCCTGGCGATGCTGGAACGTCTCGCTTTGCGGCTGGAAGTCGTCCTCTTTGCTGGTGATGATGATCTCCGGTAGACTCTGCCGGTCGTGCATCTCCAAAGAAACACTGCCCGACTTGCGGCGCCCTCTGACCTCACCATCCTTGACGTTTGCGTGTGACCTGAAGGGGCCCTTGCAGGGTGCCCGGCGGGCGGGCGCGGGGACGTCAGTGAAGGAGGTGACCTTCTCCTGGGGTTTGAGAGCTGCTGCGTTCTTGGCTTTGCACCTGTGATTACACTCCTTGTGTGGCGGATTTTGTCCCCTGCCCCCCGGCCTTTGATCACACTTCTTCTCCTTGTCCCCCCTCCTGGTGGAGCGGGGCGAAGGTGTGACATAAAGGTGGCCGTTGTATAACGGCGTGGTGGCCATGGCCTGCGTTCTGTCCAGCCACACGGTGTGATCAGCCGCTGGCGGGCCCATGCGGTGTATCCCGCACTGCGGAGGGCAGGTCTGAGGCGGGAGAGCCATCCTCGGCGGGAGGAGGGGCCGCTGGTCCTCCACATCGTCTCCATCCACCACCGTCAAGTTCATTGAGGGCGAATGCTCCATGGCGAGAGAGCCTCCAGGTGGAAATTCCCCAGATCTCTTTTAGAGGTCCGATCGGAGAGAGGACGCCAGGGAGAATGAGGACAAGTTTATTTGCGAGGTTTAACGGATAAGAACAAAACTACAGCTACAGGAAGAATGCAGTGATTAACAGCTGCGTCTTACTTGTTTGATTTTCTGATGCAGTTTTATAATCTTAAGTGTATTAGTTTGTATTTTTTTTGTTTGTATAATTCTAAAAAGCAACAAAATTTTAATACATTTTCACAAATGTCTGTTTTATACATATTATTCAAGATTTAGTGACCAACTTGACTGGACTGTGAGTGGAAAGTTATATTTCCTTGGAACACTGCTTATACTTACCTTCTCAAATCAGGTTTTCCAGAATTGTGAAGAAGAAAAGAAAAAAAGGTTCCACCTATTGTTTATTCTGAAGGTCACATCTGCCTGAGTGACAATGAGATCTTTAGCAAAGCAAACTCTACACTTTCATTCAGAGGTGGCAATTGAAACTTCAAGCTGCAGCTCTGACAAACCCGGTGCCATCAAATCAAAATATTCCCGACGTCCCGGTTCTGCATGTGAAAAACTTCCCAGCAATCCGCTAGCTGCCTCTGCATCACGGAGCCCCTCCCATAGATTCCAGCTGAGGTCATTAACTTATTCTGCATACGACGCCTCACGCGCTGCGGACCCAAAGAAATCCTTAGTGTTTCCGGTGATGTATTCGCATGTTTGGCTTCGTGCGGTTGTCTTCCATCAGCGCGTCTTCCTTACAGCTGGAGGGGCTTAATGACTGCAAAGAATCTAAGTTGCAGATGTTGCATTGAGCAAGGGCATAGAATGAGTCATCTGTCTGTTTGTTTATCGGGGATTGGCAGATTTCCTCCTCCCTGTGTGTGTGTGTGTGTGTGTGTGTGTGTGTGTGTGGTTTGGAGGGGTGGGGGCTCGGGGTCAAACATTGGTGTCCTAGTGTCAAAACTGGAAATCATTCTGGAAAGAAGTGCTATTATATCACTTTCTACTTTTAATTTCTGCAATTGCAAGTGGGTTACACAAACTTTGTCTTTTTTATTTGTTTCATTAAATAAATCTAATCTTCAGAAGAGAATACACTTCCTCAAATCAATCCAGCAGATTAGTATTGCAGATTAATCAAGTGGGACAGATCTGATACTTATGGGCTTATGAAATATTAAATATGTCCCTCCTTAAGCGAACAATATTCACAGAGCGGGCTCTAGCATTAAGCATTAAAGTCATAACAATGACATTCAGCATTCTTTATTTATCTAAATCCTCGTGACAGATGGGTCTACAGATAACACAGGCCGCTCCAAATGGAAGGACCTCAGGGGCAAAGTGGTGGGCGGAGCCCATACGGATAGTAGCAGGATAACGGAAGGCATTATCTAATCTGAAGACTACATGTATTTAAAGGAGGGGGGTATTAACGTGAAGATGTGGGAGAGGAAAAAACACGCTAGTAGGCTGATCAGACAGTCTGACGTCCCTCCAGATGTAAAATAGATTAATTATGCTAAAACTGTTCTGCTCTGAGACTTAGCCAGATGCCGAGGTCTCAATTTCTTTTTTTGTTTTTGACGTTCTTTGGGCAGGATTCTCCAAACTGTCATCACTACAAACCCCTTGAGGACGGTCTCTGGTAAATACGGAGCATGTCACATCCTTGCAGAGAAATAGACCCTAAAATACGACTGTTTCGTCTGATGAAGCAAAACTCACCCTGCCGCGGTGAAAAACACTACAAACTGTCTTAAATTAGGTTGTCCTTTTAATGATAACATGCTGAAAGGATTTATGCACAATTGCATGGCTTTTAATTAATGCGAGCTTCCAGCCATGTGCTTGTAAATCCGGCGCTCCGCGTGCTGGTGGCTGTGCATGTCGCCTCTCCTCGCCTCCGTGGCCGACAGCCAGGAGGTTTTCAATTAGTTTCCTCCATTGCAAAATCACTTTTGGCACCCAAAAAGTTCAATTAAACCGGGATGATTTGAGTCCACTAATTGCTGTGGCCGGTGCGCGGCAAATCTGCTTTGCTCTAAATCTTAAGTGTGTGTCAGTTTCATCCTGCGGTCCGGATATTAATCAGTCTGAACTGTTGGTCAAAAGATAAAAAATGTCCCATCAGGATGCAAACAGCAGTAAGAAACGATTGTGCTTTAAAGGTCACATGTCACGATTAGGTTTAGTAATAGTGAAAGTAATAGTTTGACATGTTGGGAAAGGTCCTTATTTACCAGGTTGGATAAGAAAATGTGTTGCACTCTTATATGTCTCGTATAAAAAAAATTAAGCAACATAATAATATAAAGTAGTAGCAATTTAGAAATGATACACACATATAACTGATAATAAATGTGCAAATTTTGTCCATTTCATTTTTATATTTGAAGTGGTTACCTGGTTTTATTAATTATACAGCCAACTGGATTCACAGTGTTTGCAGTGTCGAATTATAGAAAAACCAACAGCAATTTCTGTTGAACAGCTAAACTCAAATTTGCACCTGACCAAAAGATTCTGGCACATAATTCACCATAAAACCACAACATGTCATTTTTACACTTAATATTAAACAATGGATACACATCATGTTAATTGCCAGGTTTAACAATTGTTTCAGAGCCAAGCTAGCAGTTTCCCCCTGTTTCCAGTCTTTATGCTAAGCTACGCTAATTGTCTCATTGCTGCAGCTTCTATAGTGTTTGACCCGAGAAGACAATGTGGAATAAAAAGGGACAATGCATCTGGTTCGACCTCGTCGACAATGATGCAGAAGTACAAAGCTAATTGGGTGGAGAACAGTTCAATGTTTTCCCAATTTCTCCACGGCTTGTTTGGCGCACGAAGACATGGACGTTGTCTATTAGAAAACGACCTCATCTACTCAACTCCATTCAAAAATGAAAAGGCCACTCCGACTAAACCAGACGTCACAGGCGAGTGGATGCATGTGCTGGTTTTGTCGATAATACCCTATTAAGTGGAGGGGACGTGTCAGCGTAGGAGAGGCCCTAATCCAATCAGCGGAGTAATTAAAATCACACAGCACAGCAACCGCGATGGCTGATGGCAGCAATGTCGGGGACGGCATCGAGCATTTAGAACAGTGAGGGATGAGCTGTAGCTGCAGGTTAGAGTGATGGCCTTTGCCGCTGCCGCGCAATGAGAATCCCAAAAGCAAGAGAGCACAGAGAGTGGCGGCGTGCTATCATGATGTTCACAAGCCTCGTTCCCTTCTCCCAGCTCCCATCATCATTAGGAGTATTCTATCCCAACTGGTCTCTTCGCGGCATTGGATCCGGTTCTCGTCTCATTGAGCCGGGATTCGTCCTCGTTAATCTACACCATCACCTCACTGTTTGTGTGCCAGTGAGCTCCGGCCAGCATGCAGATGGAGCACAAACCACCAGATGTCACCCACGCCTCGGTGCCTTCAATCAGCAGTTTTATGAAGCCTAATGAATTTTGTTTTTTTGGCAGAGTGTCATACTTGGCGCATAACAGCACAAGGAGCTTTTCTTTTCTTCTTCCTTTCACAGGATGAACTCCAAGTCATTTTTGTGCACACGTTTAAGCAGCAATACCGCCGGGATGCTGCAGCAACAGGGTTCTCCTCCTCTGACGATACATCGCTAATGCACACTGTGTGTCCAGATTCCACGCTTGATGCGGTTTCCTCCCCTCCAACCTGTGACTTAGCCATCCTTCTTTTCGCCTCCGAGGGCCACTCTCCATCCTGCGAGCGCAGCCGAGCGTGAATCTGCAGCTGGGGAGCGCTCCGGATGTGCGACAGGCTGCCTATGGAAAGGGGTAATTCCGAAGGGCAGTGGAAGTAATAGGGTAATCTATTATACAGTCCAACTCTTTCTTCCTCCTCCCCCCTCCTCCCCTCCCTCGCTCCTCCAGTCTTTGGGTTTCTCGCTGCCTCTGCCCTTGCATCAGCATTTCGTGGGGACAAATGAGAAGTAGAGTTTAACTATGCACATTCCCGAGGCCTCCTGCAGAGGCCAGCACTTTGGCAATTAAAGAGGAGTCCACGGCCCCTATGATTCAAAGCTCAACCCCCCACTGAGTGGAAGCAGCTCACCCACAGACAACGCACAGTTCTGCTGTAGCAGCGGGTGACCGTGACCACTGTGGTGTGTTACCATGTGTGTAACCGGCTGCGTACATGCGTGACGTATGTTGTACCACACCACACATGTTGAGCAGACATAAATTAGAAGGGAATGAAATACGTGGGATTTTAAAGATGGTTACTATTCTCCTTTTCGCGTTTTTTTGTGCTCAGTTTTTGCACAAACAACGGGAGCTCTTTTTTCCAAGAGCTACTTCACCTCGTCCCCCTCTTTTAATCAATTCTCCGTCGCTGTTTACGACGCTCTGTACGGTCTTTCTATTGTCTTGAAGAAGGTCAACTCATGGCGACGGACCAATTAAAAGCTCTCCCTCCTCCTTCACCTCCTGCTCCATCTTCAACCCCATTCACTGACATTTTTCTCCCTCGTGCTCTCCATTTTAGTCGCACCTCCCAGAGGGATAAGGAGACAGAGAGCCCACAGCCACCGTCTCTTCCTCCTCCTCCTCCTCCTCCCCCTCCCCACCCCCCTCTCCTCCTCCTCCCTCTCTCAGCTCCCCTCTCTCCCAGCACACGCTCGCACTCCTTCCCTCTGATGCCGACTGGATGCAGACCGGGGGATCTCCAGCAGCTTCCTTAGTCGGTCTTCCCTCCCCTCCTCCTCCTCCTCCTCCTCCTCCTCTTCCTCCTTCAACATTCGCCGCTTCTCCACCACTGCCTCCTCTCTTCTCCTGCTCCTCACTGCCAAGATGTGGCGCTCGGTGGCTCTGCTGCTCTCTGGATTCTCTGCTTTGATTCACGGTGAGGCTGATCGACTCTCTCCATTCATCATGTATTCGGGGGGATCAGAAAATTTCAGCAGCAGCACTTTAGTCTCAAAGTGGGATTTTAAAGGGGGATTCGGGCATTGGAGTTGGTTGTGTTGGAGTAAGAATTCAAAGTAGAGGAGAAAAGACCCCAAGGGAGGAAAAGTGAAGGCTCATTTGATGCCTTTCTTGTTTACATCTCCAGGATTTTTTGACAATGTATCCCTGTTTTGCTGGACGCACATGCTGATTGACCTGGACGCCGCTGTGGGAGACGTTTAAACGGGCAGATTGACAGAAACAGCGCGTAAAAAAAATCTGAGCAGTCGTAACATTTCATTGGTTTCTTACCTCGTTGCACGAGCCTCGTTTCGTTTAAATCTCGGCGCATGGCAGGAGATTTTACATACATTTTACCGATTCTTACAGAAGGCAGGCTACAGTCGTACTGGACATATAGATCTGCCTTGCTTCTCCGGTTGTGTTGAGGACGCGTTACTGCAGCCGAGATGACGGGGCTCCAAGAGAGAGAAGTGAAAATAAAAGCTGACGGTTGACCTTTCCCCACAGGCAGAAGTACCAGCTGCGAAATGCTTTTTCTTCTTCTTTGTTTTCAAGAGGAGGTTTCGTACCAGAAAGTCCACCACTGAAAAGAAAAGACCGTCAGACAATAATGATAAACACTGAATTTTAAAGACACTACATTTAAGGAAAGGGCTTCTAACGAAACCATCTTTCACGCATGAACATTTTGCCTCGGCCACCGGGACTTAAACCCGTTATGTTCTTAGCAGCAAAGCACCTTAAACCCTGACATTCTCCACAAAAAGGCTTCAAAGTCAGAAACAAAAGAAATCTTCCACATTGTTCATCAACGTCTCACACACACAGTGTGTTCGGCATCTGGCTTAGCACTGGTTGAATCTCTGTGACAGCAGCCATTTTCTAATGTCTGTACTGTTGCACCGACTGGAGAAACCTTAGATGTTTTGTGCATCATTTAATAACAAATCCCTGCAGTTGAGCCTGGGATGAATCGATGATTTAGAAATATCCACAAATTACAAAACACAATCTACACAACATTCCTCCTGAATTGATCTGCACATTTCTGGCTTACATTACTGTCTACTTACACTCATACCTGCCAAGTGTATTCAATTAGTCCATAAATATATATATAAATATTTCATATATATTTGGTCTGTGCCATTCAAACTAAAGTATACAACTATTAGTGCCAATTATTGTTAATCAAAAAGGTTTCAAACCTTTTTGTTAACTGAATCCGTCTCCTGTTGGTTGATTTCCTCCTGTATTCTTTCAAATTAATGTTAAACAGGAGTTAAAGTATACATATTTATTTCTTGCAAATGTCATCATCCAATTCTGTTTTTGCTTGTGTTGTGTGGGTGCTCGGGGTAGATAAGGAAGCTCAGTTCTCGAGGGCTAAATCTTTAGCTTTGATTTGATTTGACTGTCCTCCCACCCAAAAGTCTCATTTGTTTCCCCGCTGATGTTTTTTCTTGTAAATTAGTGTCCTTTTATTCAGAAAACAGACTTAGTTTGTCCCTGAGCAACTTGAGCTTCGACATCCAGTCCTCCTTTAATGATGTCAGCCTGCGATCTGAACGACGGCGTATGTTTTGGGCTCTTCAGTGTCGTTGCAGGGTCCTCACCAGAGGAGCCTGTTAAAGAACCTCCTGAAGGACTACAACCGGATGGAGCGACCGGTGGGCAACGACTCCCAACCGCTCACCGTTGTCTTCACCGTCAGTATGATACAGATCATGGACGTGGTAGGTGTCTACATCCACAAAAGGGTTTGAAAGTTGTTAAGAATTCTGTTTGCAGCAGAACTTCAAAAATAATGATGATTACAGGAGTGTTTTTCCAACGTTTTCAGGATTTGGAGAAACACAAACTCACTGTACTTTTTGGCTTTGGAGCAATTGTTTATATATATTTTTAATGTTCTGCAGGATGAGAAGAACCAGGTTCTCACCACTAACATGTGGCTACGGATGGTAAGAACCCTGAAGAGAGGCGATAAGGGATTAAGATCATGACTGAGATTGGGAGGAGAGGGATTTCAAAATAAAGGTCAATATGTGAATCTAATAATATCTTTGAAATTTTGAAGAAAGCAGAGTTGTTTTTTTGACTGCAAGGTACTGTGCTAAACTAGTATTCAGGGTAACGATTTCTGTATTGGATTGAGGTGAGTCTTACGTGTAAACCAGGGGGGGTTGAAGATAGCGTCGGTTGCCTGTGCTGCAGTGCAATGGCAGACACGCCGTATGTGCCTCTGTGCGTTTAAGAGTTGGTTTGACCACTATCTCCAGTGGAACCAGAGCGAACATCCCGGGGTGAAGAACCTCCGCTTCACCACGGACCAGATCTGGACCCCGGACATCCTGCTCTACAACAGGTAAAACACGCATGAGCAACTCTACCTGTGTCTCACACGCGCGCGTTATATTCCAACACGTAGTGTCACTTCCTTCCCTGTCCTTCCTCAGTGCAGATGACGACTTTGACTCCACCTTTAAGGTCAATGTTCTGGTGAACTCCAGCGGCTACGCCGAGTATCTGCCTCCAGGTCAGCGGGTCTCTCTTTCTATCTCATGAATTCATGCAGTTCCTCAGTCCCGTCTCAGTCTCACACACACCTCCTCATCTCCCTCTAGGCCTCTAATTCTGCAATATCTGCATGTCTTCCACGTCTGTACAGTTGACATTAATATTTTATCACAATAAAACAGCATCGCTTGTTTCTCGCTGGTTGGAGATTCTCAGCGCTGTGAGCTATGAATAGTCAGCACACGCTTCCTCCGTTTCCTGTTGTGCACCCAACGCGAGACCTGTGCCAGTGGGAAAATAACATAGTAATGGTGACAAAGAGGCTCCGCTGGGTTTCCACGGAGCTGTACTTTGTTGCTGGCTGGATTGAATATAAGAGCCGGTTTTGAGGGGAAATGGCCTCATGAGGTTAAAAGTGGAGGACTCCCTTCTCAGAAAGCCACCCTATCAATTCTATTTGTGGGGCCATGTTTATTAATAAGCTGCCGCCGAATGTAAATATACAGCTCCCTAATGCTGTGATTTGGATCAGAGCCAACAAGGGAAGGAATAATGAGATAGTGCCCCGCTTTGGTAGAACATGGAAAAGAGATTTTGCAAGAAAAAATTATGAGAAAGAGCAACAGAAAAGATGGGCACAGATAATAGAATTAATGAAGAGAAAAGGGAAAGGGGGAAAGCAGCAAACTCGTTTTTAGTTTCTTTGACTTACTCGCACACTGCTAGTTGTAATTCATGAGGTATTTTGGGGTTGTTATGATCAGTAAATAGCCTACATGTCTGTGGGAAGCAGGCGTGGAGAAGGAGCTTGACAAACAATAAATTATTTAAGGATGGAGGATCTCAGCTGTCTGCTGCACAAGATCATTTGCAGACAACCGAGCTGCAGAGGTAAAGGTGTCATGTCGTGGCTTTGAGGGTATAACAGGAGATAAGCGGTAACAGGTTTTGGCTCCTATCTTGATTGCATATCGCCATCTTCGTGATGTAGTTTTACTTTTGGAGCCCGTGCTGTGTGTGTGTGTGTGTGTGTGTGAGAGAGTGAGAGATTATTAAACTGCAGAAAAATCCAGATGTCTTTTCATGTGAGCGTTGCTTGAAGGTTACTGGATGTCTGGGATGAAAGGAAGGGTACGAAATCGTACTCTGCAGGAAGGAGCACGGCTGCAAAGGTAGATAGAACTATAAGTTCTAGCTCTGGCAGAAGTTCACAATATGAGTAGTTATAGAGAAACTGTCTCAATATGGCAAAGACAGAAACTGTCAGTCCCTGGATTTGGCAGAGCGATGGGTATACAAAAGGACATTTATTCTACTCACATTGGTGTCATGCTTTTGATCAGTTTCTGCTTGCAGAGCCCTTTCCAACCTGCTAACCGTCGCTCGGGAGGCTTAAATATTCGGCAGCCTCATAATTAATGTCTCTGGCTGTAAGTCCACGGTGGCATTTTGGTCCTGCGTGCCTCCAAACGGCTCAGCAAGGCTTGATTCATTTATTTCGGTAATTACTTTAAGGGCTGGAGTCTGCCAGCGACCACTGCGATCCTTGTGATTCTTCGCTTGGGGTTGGACACCAGCAGACACGTACAAATAAAAGGGCATTTACTTAATAATTATAAAAAAAGCAGTATCGTGTTTAGCGCATGTTGTATAAGTCTGCAGTGTCACTGTCGATGTTTCCTGCAGTGGCCGAGGTTTAGCTGGCAGCCCAACGAGCAGAAACAACATTTGTTGTGCAGCGTTTCTGGAACCTGCGGGTGACAAACCTGCTGCCAAGTTGTTCCGTTTTAAAGACATTTATTTGATGGTACATTGTTTGTAATCTCGTCACTGCTTTCACCTCTTTAGCCTCCAAACCCAATTTCAAAATAGAGTGAGTAAACGAGGTTAATAAAAATCCCGGGGCAACGCGTACTCTCGGTCGTGATGCAGCACATTCCACTCCATTAAAATGTGAGGGGGTTGAGTTCAGAACTCACTCATTAGAGCTGGACGGAGATGAAATGAATGAATGATTGTTTCTGACAAGCTAATTGATATTCAGGACGGGTTTTCCTCACAACACAGGAGGTCCAACGGGTCATTTGTCACCTCTGCACTGAACCTGCAGAGGTCAACGTCAACATTCGATCAATGATGATTGTCGCCTCCTGCTCTTCTCACTTGTTTTCTCAGGAATATTCATGAGCACTTGCAACGTGGACGTTCGCTGGTTCCCTTTCGACATCCAGAAGTGCGAGCTGAAGTTTGGCTCTTGGACGTACGACGGCTGGTTGCTGGACCTCCAGATGGAGGACGCTGACATCTCGGGCTACATGCCCAATGGAGAGTGGGACCTGATCGGTGAGAACGATGCTTGTGTCACGTCGTCCTGTGAGACATTCAGTAACAGAGCAAAAGAGTCCATTTCTCTCTGTCGCTGGTCTTTCAGGAGTTCCTGGCAGCAGAAACGAGGCTTACTACGACTGTTGTAAGGAGCCTTACCAGGATGTGAAGTTTATTGTGACCATACGGCGGCGGACGCTCTACTACGCCCTGAACCTGCTCATTCCATGTGTGTTACTGTCTTCGATGACGCTGCTCATCTTTGTGCTTCCGGCGGACTCTGGGGAGAAGATCTCATTGGGTGAGTAGGTCAGAAAGCAGAGTTGTCCAGTATGTACCAGAAGTCGAGGGTGATGTTGCTTTGCTTCATTTCTATTGGGATCCATCGAATGAGTCACATGAAACCAGGAAAAACTCGCATCTCGAGTCGCATCTCGGACTAAATGTACAATCTACATTGAAAAGGTGAACCCCCCCCCCCTTCCCTTCCATCACCAACCCACCGAGGGAGGCTCCATGGTCGAATCACATCTCCTCCGTGGTGTGTAACCCTGAAGTATAAAGGGGAAAAGAAACGAAGCTGGGGGTGCTGAAGGCTCGGGGCCGGGATGAAAGAGGCACATGTTGGATAGGGGGGAGGGGGGAGGGGGCGAGGGGGAGCAGAGGGAGAAGAGGGATCACAAGATGAAATAGAAAGGAGGAACGGAGGAATGCGAGGAGGAGGAACAGGCACAGATGGGTGTGGGAAGGTAGAGAAAAGAGAATGTAGACAGGAGAAGAATTTGGATGAGACAGGGCAGCACAAAATAGCGAGGGAGGGGGGGCTGATGGAAGGTGGGAGACAACCACATTACACAACGATACGCTGGAAGAGAGAGAAGAAGCAGCGGCTCCATCAAACAACAGCTGCAAGTGCGTCTAAATATCCGGCCCGACCCGCCACTCAAAGGATACGTCCATCGATCGCGTTGTCGATATAATGGGCAGCGATTTGATGATTGTCTGAGTGAAGGCGGAAGGGAAGCCACGGCAACTTCATCGCAGCATATTCTTAACCTTAATACAGGAGCCATTACGCAGCATGTCTCTGCTGAAAATAACGCTAAGCCTTTACACGGCCAATTAACCCATTGATGTAATTAAGGCTAGTGGATTGATTAAGGCAGAGGGGGGCAGACGCAGCTTTCCAGGGAGATACTCCCTTTGTCCCTGCGCTTGATGGAGGACATTTCAGGGTGAGAGGGGCAATGCTTTTAAAGAGAATGTGTCATTTCTGAGAAAGAGCGCGTTTTTAATTTTCTTAATATCCTTAAAGAACGTTCATATTTTCTCTCTCAGCCAAGGAGTTTAATTCATTGCTCCTGCGTGGGGACAGTTATGCCAACAAAGCACTCCTTCAATCCCGGTGAAGGAGTGAGACTGATAGTGTGGAGGTGGACAAATGAAGATGAAGATGCGTTTAAGTGCGTTCCCGTTTAGCAAGCAGAGTTTGGACAACTTTCAAAAAATGTCTATCTGTTGTGCGGAAGAGCTTTTTATTTGCAGAGCTACAGGATGTCAAAGAGTAATTCACTGTGCGAGCATTAGCTGGTCATGTACATAAATCGAACGTGATCTCATCGTTTATCAAGATGCCAAACGCGCAAGTACCGCTCCTCGTTGGAGGGGCCTGAACCGCGATATTGGTCGCACAATAAAACCTAACGTGGAAGTTCTCATTTCACTCCGTCTGTCTATCTGTCTACCTGCAGGCATCACGGTGCTGCTGTCCCTCACGGTGTTCATGTTGCTGGTGGCAGAGATCATGCCAGCCACGTCTGACTCGGTGCCTCTCATCGGTACGTGGCCGGCAGTGTGTGTGTGTGTGTGTGTGTGTGTTCACACGTGGTTCATATGGTCCTTTATGAGCAAGTTCTTTACAACACACTGCTACAACAACCTTTAATGATTTTCAATACATGTCCAGACGTTTTCCTCGTTAGAGAGGAGTGTCCATCCGACAGTGACAATCGATGTGTGGTCTTGAAGACTTCAATCTCCCCGTAGTAATTCCAAGAGGACAGAAGGAACGAGCTTCTGGGGCAACTTGGTCGGCGTGTTTTAGCATCCCAGCGTTCGCTCGTTAGCGCTGAACAGAAATGACAGCAGAGGCTAACGGAGGCTAATGGTGTTTAGTGGGTATCAGTAATGAACCAAAATATGAAACTGACAAAGTCATTCAAATGTTCTCTCGGGGGAAGATTGCTCGAGTTTCATGGCAATAATTGTTTTGATGAGACATCTCACTCAAAAGCCCAAATGTCAACCTGTGCAAAAACTCCTTCCTGAGCTTCATCTTCTGGAGACCACGAGTGATCGTGGTCAACATTTCATTGCAATGCATCCAGGAGTCATCGAGGCGTTTCAGTCTGAGTTGACAAACATTGTCATCCACAGAGCAACATCTGTTAGCGATGGCTATACGATTGCTGCTTTGTTACTAGAAAGCCGCACAGCTACGGAATGCAAAAAAAAACCCTAATAATTTTGGACATCTGTTGGCTTTAAACTTTAATTGGTTAAATTGATTGCACACGGCTGGATGTTACATTTTGCGAGCTGAGATTGCAGCCAGAGACAGATGCAAGGCACAAATCCTGGTCATTAAAAACGTGAGACATTAAATGTAGTTATAATCACCGGAGAGCTGCTTTCAGCATAATTCCTTTAATTAAAACAAACCTCCTTGATGCAGTCTTAACCGTGCTTCTACAAACACAACGTAGAGGCAGTCTGTATGTTTTCATTATAACCTTCTTGTTGGTCTGTGTGTCAAATCAGACTGTTGACACTACAATGTGTTTTTAAAATGAACCCCAACATCTACTCCGCCCAGGTCAGTACTTTGCCAGTATAATGATCATCGTTGGGATGTCCGTCATTGCCACGGTGGTGGTACTGCAGTATCATCACCACGATCCAAATGGAGGAAACATGCCAAAATGGGTGAGCTCAAACTCTTCATTAGCTCAAGTTCACTGTAAGTTACACACATCATGCTGTCTGTCCTGTTCATGGGGACCCTCCCTATTCCCGATATGATTTATTGCTATTATTATTATCTTGATTTTACATCATCGTTCGTGTTGTATCATACTCTGCCATTTTCATTTCACCCGCCTGTGCTGCCTGCATTCTGCCAGTTTCCTTCACACTTTCCATCCTACGACTTCCTCGGGCTGTGACTCATTCGGCATGTCGTGTTCCACCGAACCCTCGCCTTCAACGGGAGTGTGTTTCAACGGGCTCTGGATACGTAGGTGGTTTAGACTCATTCCCTCTTCTTAGTGTCTTGCCTTCTTGCCTTCTGTTAAATGCTAAAAAAGAATGTTGGAATGGAAATAATGTGGAAAAAATGACATGTCATATAAAATGATGCTATTGTTAAAGATCGGCTGGCAAATAAAATAAATCCGTAATTTGAATCAAGAAAATAAATTACATTGTTTAATATTTAACGGTTCGCAGGTCACTTATCAATATGTGTCCAAAAGGCAGGATGCCTCGTTTATCGACACATTGACATTCAGCTGACGAATGGCCGGTTAAGACAATTAGCAAGCTAATTGATGTGGTCCAGCTGACAGCACTGAACCATCGCAGGTCATTATTACAACCCAGCTAGTTAACACACTCGGTGGAAACTGATCCAGCAGTCGGGACATTCGCTTCTCATTAGATACCAAACGACCACGTGGTGGCTGTTGGACTAATGTGCTCTTTCAGAGGACATGTGGTCTCTTTCCAAGGGAGTTTTGTTTTCATGTTGAGAAAGAACAGAAGAAACAAGAGGAGAACAGAACAGGCTTTACTCAATTTAGCAGCTAATCTGAGACCATATTGAAAGCTCATAACGCTGCAATCCGACAGTCAATCTCAATAATTCCACGCTTTAAATGTAATGTCTTTGCAAGTATCCTCTCTGTCGCAGATACGGTTAAAGCTAAAGATCTCCTCTGCCTCAGGCACTTTGTCCCTAGCGAGGATCTCCTACTCCTACTTATGCAAGCGCGGCTGTATTTTAAGACAAGATACAAGGTTGGAAACACTGCAAGCATCAATCCCCGACAAGGCCATTCACCCAGCTTACCTGGTGCAATGTGAAGGTCAGAATGTTTAGGTGGTAATAATTGAGGCTCTCAATGCTTTACAGCGTTCTCATTGTGTCCTTTGCCTCTCTTATGCTCTCCCACTCTCATCTTTACAAATCTCAGTTTCTACGTCTTCCCCTCCGCAGGTGCAGCTCGTCTTGCTGCAGTGGGTAGCGTGGTTCCTGCGTATGAAGCGTCCGGGAGAGAGTGACGACCCAGAGCGGCCCCCGTGCGCCCCCCACTTGCGGCGATGCTCCTCGGGCTCCCACAGCGGGAGCATCCCGAATCCGCCGGACCCCACCCTCCATCCGCTGCACCCACAGAACCTGGCTCCGCTGCACGCGGTGCACCCTCACCTCCACGCCCAGTCGAGTGCCAACAACAACGGGAACCTGCTCTACATGGGCTACCAGAGCATGGAGGACCCTTCGATACTCTCAGAGCCTCTGCAGAGGAACAACATCTCCGTGGGGCCCGCGCGGGTACCAGGCAGCCCGCCTCCTCACCTCCCATCCCAGTTCTGCAGTTCCCCACTGCCCCCCATCCCCAACATGGATACTCTGGGCTGCCCCAGCACCGTCTCCAGCGGCGGGGGCTTCGGAGGTGGAGCCGGAGGGCTCGGCGGGTGCCCGGCTGCAGGGATAGGAGACGCCCAGCTACAGGCCATCTTGGAGGAGGTGCGCTACATGGCGGACCGTTTCCGGGAGCAGGACGAGACGGAGAGCGTGGCCGACCAGTGGAAATTTGCCGCGGCTGTGATCGACCGCCTGTGCCTGGTGGCGTTCAGCGTCTTCAACATCATATGCACCATCTCCATCCTCATGTCAGCTCCAAACTTTGCGGACGCCATTTCGAAAGACTTTATTTAAAAAGGCAAAAAAGTTAAAAGAGGAGGAGAAGCGTGAAGAAAAGGATGAAGGGAATTAAATATAGGATGAAGGATCGCGTGGGCCCGGATCCAGCGAAACCCAATTTCCAGCCGACTGTAAGCTCTGTGATTTGTGACTGCAAGGAAAAAAAAGAAGAAGGTTTTCTTTGCAATACATTCTGTTTTGTAACCGATATAAAAGAAGAAAAACTGATGAGGAAGTGGGATACAGAGTGAGCCTAAATGAGGTTATGCCTGGCAGGGTGCTTCAGCTTCTCAACAAAGGTGAAATTGTTTCTTGTGGTAAATTCAAAGACTTCAGCCACAAACATGAGGAGAAAGAAATATTCAGTCCAAAGCAAGTAATAAAGCTTCTAAACAGGGGGGAGATGCAGACAGTAAGACGGGTATTTCATCATTCTTCGGGGGGAAGGAAGACATTTCGTCACTCCCACATGTTGAGAACGGATTCCATCGTTTAAGAGCGTTGGAGACTCTTTCATTAACAGTGTCGTAAGGAGGATAGAATGAATTTTATCGACAACAAAGAGCGATGTTGAGCCTCGGTTTCGGAGGAGTAACCCGCTGGATGCTCGGATATACAAAATTGGACTGAATATCGGGAAGCAGAGAAGAACAGGAGAGGATCTCATCTATTATTAAATCACGTTCATCTGATGACCGTCAAATTGAAAGACCTTGAGTAATCTTTAAGACTAATAAGCTTTTAAAAGATGAAGTTCCCCTCCTCCTCCTCCTCCTCGACGCAAACCACTTTAAATTTCCAAAGCCTTATCTCATTCAGACGATTATCCAATCGGCAACAATCAGCAGAGATCAAAAGCTTCTTCGCAGCGGGCAAAGTGTGCAGCGCTTATCCCGCCCGGGAAACTGAATGAAGCGGTCATCCGCGGCGCAGTGACCAGTAACTAATAACTGAATCGCTCACCTAACTGCATCTGGCAGGTCGTGATGGACCAACAGATCTCATATTAAAGGTTCAATATCTGAAATGGGAGATCCGGTCTTTAAACGTGAGAGGGATAAGAACAAATCCTCAATTTTATGAGGGAAGTAACACCCTGTCAGATCCCGTCAGGAGGTTATAGCTACGTAGGGACGTTCACACCAACCTAAAATTAAATGCGAGATGTTAATGGAGTCGTATTTTTCATAGAATCGAGTGCAGTTGATTGAATGTTGTGATTTAAAGGTTTTACAGAATATGTCTTTGACAAGATTGGGTTTGAGAGGATTTGAGTTGTCTGCTAGCAGTTTGAATGTGTGCTGAATGCATAGTTAGCCAAGTCCAATGTATGGATGATGGTCTAACAGCTGTATTCACAATTGGCCATTTTAAAAGCATCAAACTTCCAATGTTTAAGAGGATTCGTTCCCTAATCCAGAGAGAAAGGTCTGTGGCATGTACAAATTCTGCAAAAACAGTTCCAGTAATACAAAGGCAACAAAAGATGAAATACTTAATAATGGAGGGATTTTGGACAAGGCCCAAGAGTAGAAGGGAATTATGGGTCATGAGTCAGGAGTGGAGCTAAAAATGCACCTTTAACAGCTCTATTCTTTAACATAAAGCGTCGGTAATGGGTCTCTCAATGCCTCACTGATTCCAAGATAAGGTAAGATGGACTTCAGTATAAGTGTCTGTGTGGACGCCACAGAAAGGAAATGTAGAAATATCAGGTGCAGGATTTTACTGTAAAAACAAACGTATTAGCATTAAAAACTGGATAAAATGTGTTTTCTTGCACTTGAGATACCTACAAATTGTACAAAACTATTACTAGAACTAGACCTAACCCCTCAAGAGTTACTCTATATTGTCAACATACCCCATGTTATGTTACATTGTCTGTGACGTGCAGCCTCGTGCCGATTTGCTTCTGATGTTTAAACTAAAGCCACAAGCGCATAGTTTCACATTAAGTTTCCTAAAAAAGCAGAGCACAGACATTTTTGAGTGTTTGCCAAACAGGACAAAACGGGGAATTGGCCACGGACTATTTTCAGCTCCGGATTAATACGAATTTGATGTGGTGCTCTAGCTAATGCTTGAAAGAGCCGAGCGGCGCGTGAAGGACTTGACTTGACTTCAGATGAAAAGAGTAGACAAGTGGTCAAAGTTATGATGTGTTTTTCATCGTTTTTGAAAACGAATGTTTACTGGCCACTTGTAAGGAATTCCAGACCTCGCTTGTCAGTTGTAGGATAAATGAGCGGCTCAGTTTTCAGGGGATTTGACGACAGTAATAAAAGCGCAGCCTCATCCGGTGAGGAGTTCAATCAAGTTTGCTTATTAAGCGCAAAAGATCCAACAGGACAAAATAGGTTTAATAAATTCTTGACTTACACCGTCTCCGGGGGCTTGACACATTTACTATCCACATGGCGTGAGACAGTTTTACAAATACTTTATCTCTGTACCGCTCCACGTCTTCTCTCCTCCTCTCTGAAGTCGAGTGTCCCAGCGGGCGGAGCGCAACTTCCTGCTGGAAGGTTTGTGGAAAGATATTTATCCCTCCAGCGTACACCGACACCTCAACCCTGAACATCTGTACATTTCCCACCCTGAAAATAAAGGATTCTCCCTTTTTTCTACCACCTTTGGTCTGCTCCCTATCTTCTCTGTTGGCACTGGATGGCCCCGACCCCAAAATGAAGAGAAAAATGACAGAGAGGAGAGCTAAGAGGGGGAGGAGAGAAAGTGCTGACGCCTAGTGAGAGCTGGACAGGCCCTTAATTGATCACTCGTTCAGGAAGGGGGGGGGGGGGGGGGGAGATGAGAGGTGGAGGGTGGGTGGGGGTTAATGGCAGAGAGGGGGGCATCCTTAGTAATTCATTGGATTTATGAGGGACAGAGGCCGGGGAGACAAGCATAACTCAGTCACAGACATCAAATGAAAGGCCACTGCAGTACATCACAGCAGGGAAGATGTACTGCAGAAAATGCACAGAAATTAAGAGACATATTTTCACACAGCTGTATGTCCATCGAGCAGGACTAGTGTGGCGTTGATGTGTGGCCCCCACTGTGTCACCCAGTCAGTACGCCAGACTGCTTCAAGAGTCCGGGGTGTATTTATAGTAGCCTGCTGGTCCTTATTCAGCCCGCCCAAGGCCCCTCTGTTTGACGGGGGAACTCGCTTCCTCTCTTAGGGGCGAAAAATGTGCAGCGTTAGCGATCTGGCAGCACTCAGATTTACGGCGTTCAGTCAGATGGAATAAAAGAAGAGTGAGAATGTGTGTGTGTGTGTGTGTGTGTGTGTGTGTGTCCATGGTAAAGATGAGCCTCGGGGGGGTTGCGAATGCGTATAATCAATCAGTTATTGTTGTTTTTTTTCTCACCCCACAATCTCTATTTTAATAAAAGCTCACGGACCAAAAGCTTTCTCCCAGGCCTCAAATACTTCACCAGATGCGTAATTCAACTGAGCCCATTAGGGCCCAAGCTGCTCTATAGCTGTGGGAATAGATCAGCGATATGGAAGCTAAAAATGTCAGCTAAAGAGATCCAATCAGAGCACACACATGTACGAGAAAAGACTAAACACAGGCAGAGATAACAGATGAGGCAATCCCACACGGCATGGACGCACATCAATTCAATCAAACACTGCACAAGCAAAACATTTAGATGCACCCGTCCATCTGCACCCACACCTGTTCTCTCACGGGGGCCCAGCGTGCACTGCTGCATAAAAGCTCCCCGACATCTTGCGGCTGAGGCCGATCAATGCCTTTTAATTACCAAGGGCCCAAAGCGGCGCTGGTCGATACGGCTGACGGGAAGCAGAGAGGGAGAGACGCTCCGGACGGTGATTGATGCTGCAATCCTACCGACGAGCCTACCTGCAGATGTTTCGTTAGGCCCGATTAATCCCGCCGAGACACATTCATTCGCTTTACGGAGCGCCGGATCACCGGCCTGGGCCGCCGCGGTCACGAGGTTAAGTGGACACGAGGTGTCCGGGCGGAGGACAGAGAGCTCTTAAACGACAGGTCAACAGTGACTGGTTGCTCCCTGTGGCGCCGGCTACAGGACATGATGCACCCAACGCGCCGAGGAAAGTTAATAACTTAATTCCCCAGGTTCCTTTTAAACTGATTTCTACCCAGACACGCGCTTCGTTGTTGAGGAATTTGACTTACTTTCCAACCCAAGCAAATCAATGGGGTTTTTATCTGTGTCGCTTGCGCTGTGAATAATGAACGAAGGCGCATCTGAAGCGATCAAATATTCTCTTTCATAAAATCCGGGGGACTCACAAAAGTCAGATTAAAAAAAGAGAATGCTGAAAACTCAGAGGAGGCCAAGATAACCGTTTTGTCACGCTGGGTAAAAATCCTCGTGACGAATAAGTTTTGCCGTTAATAATGTTTAATGTCGTGGTTGAGCAGCTATTCGCACTTTTAATTTCATGTGATGACTCCGCAATCAGATTGAAAATCATCACGCAACTGACACTTTAATATTTTAGATGCTTTTTAAGATTTTTGCACTATGAGTTATGTCTAAAACCTGTGACCAAAATATGAAAGATAACGGAAGAAAAGTGTTTCTGTGCTTGAAGTGAAGCATTAGATGCTACGTAAAGTACTTTAATAGGCACACAATTGCATTCGCGATGCACCACTGAAGTGCGATGCGCATTTTCATATCTTATGCAGCTGAATCCTTAGTTGCCCCTCGAGGGAGAATGTTGCAACTCTCTGCAACTCAACTGGCTTCACCCCAAATGAGGAAAAACAAACAGGGACGATCCAGAGCCGCTGTGCACGGAGGGCGTTAAGAGGAGCCGTGATCTGATGCCGCTGTGCTTTTTAATTATACATTAGGCAAGTTTTTAGTTGTACGACATTAATTGAGATTTCAGATCCATCCTTCTAGTCTGAGAAGCAGAAAAGGAACAGAGAGCAAAAAAAAGAACTTTGGTTGAACCAAGAAACCCACCACAGCTGCAGCTGCGTGCGGGACAGCGGCCTCACCACAGGTGGACGTTAAGTGGACTCAACGCGTGTTCCCTCCCGTTGGGCCACAAGCCAGAGGACATTATTGCAGCCCGACAGCTACAATCAGCCCTCCGTCCCGATTAAGCAAACAGAGTTTCTTATCGAGCGGCACGTCGGGTGTTAGTCCTCTGCTCACTTCATTAAGAATAACTTACTGCACACGACCAACTGTACACGACTATGTCCATTTTATTATGGCGGGAAGGGTGGATTTGGGGATTCACAAGTCAAACGATGTGTAAACGTTTCAACCATTTCAACTAAAAACAAAAAAGGAAATGGCTACATTTCAATGTGAAGCAGGTCCTAATTTAACCGTTGATGACTTCTGATGTTCAAAAAGGGTTAGTATGTTTAACTTACACTATTAAGTGTTTCATTTAAAGAAGTATAGGTTAAATACTTTTTTTTAAATCAAATTCTCAAAAAGTTCTTTAGATGTGGTGCTTCCTCTTTTTTAGTTGTGGCTTATGACTTGATATTTTTCTGACTCGCAAATCAACAAATCAGTGCCAACTGGATACGAATGGTCTTAACTCAATATCAACCCAATATCAGACCAGTTTATCAATAAAGACAGGTAGTTCCTGGTGTTAGAGGTGTTGTGTTCAAAAATGAAGAAACGCTGGACAGACAGAGGTCATCGCAGATCAAAAGGTTAAAATCAAATGTTTTTAATAAAAGAGATGGTGTTGTGGTAAAAAGAACATCTCAGCTGAGGAGCCGCTGGTCTCAGCAACCAACAGGCCCCAGGTCAGTCCTTTACCATCCCTAGTGCCCGTCTGTCGCCTCCACCAGCGAACTCCAGAACAATGGTTCCTACAGGTATTTATAACAATGCTTAAAGGTGTGAAAGTCAGTGTCCTCTGGGAGTCTTCTGGTGAGTTCAATGTAACTTGGATTTTGAATGACCCTTAGTCAATATCAGTTGTTGTGCAAGTATTACATGCATGCATTGCAGTTGATTACATTACATCTAATAGAATAATAACATTTGTATTATTCTAATACAGTCGCAGAATTACAGTGGTTTTACAATATTGTCATTACTTTACTGATTACACTATCAGAATCATGGCTGTATTCTGGTGTACACTATATGCATTTTATTAATTTTATGAACCGGGTTGTCAGTTTATTTCTAATATCCTACAGAGGTTATGATTGCTCAATAACTCAAAAACTCATATTTGCTATGGACAGGCATGAAATAAGTATTAAAACCATGATGGTTAGTAACAGTTTATGGTCTGGTTGGATAAAAGAAACAACCACAGGAAAGTGAGGGCATGCGGTGAAGTCGGGATGAGTAGAGAGGAGTATTTTCACCTCGGCTGTGCCAATGCACACACACTCCACAGGCTCCGCTCCACCGGGAGCATGAAGAGGCCCTGTATTTTTGGTAAGATCACAGCCTCACCGTAGTTTCTCACGACCTTCTCATCGACTGATAAAAGCTCCTGTTGAGCACGGTGAGCGATAGAAAAAGACCCGAACGTCCCCCTTCCCTGTCGCTCGGCCAGAATAATAATGATGTGCCTGTGGAGCTTTAATTAGCGGCGGCGCTCCCTGCCGTGGAACCCGTGTTCAACTGTGCGCCGCTGCTCCAATTCCTGCAGAACCTGGGGCTGTTTTCAGCAAGGAAATGTGCTTTTTCTTAGTTAAATACAGCAGTGTAAACCACGGAGATATAAAAAGCCCGCTTTTCATAAGTGAGATATCTGATAATCTAGAACAGTGTCTTCAGTCTGTCATTCGCTAAGCTCCCTGAGAAGTAGTGGCACTCTGCTTTTTCATTCATCTTAAACCCCTTTGAGCAGAGAAATGAGCATAAGGGAAATGTTTCCTGCCAGCAAACTGTCACATCTGTAACATCCGTTCCAACAAGTGTTAATAAAAAATAAGAGCATTGCTGTCAAATTGGATTCATCTCCTCACACATCCAGTTGCAAATGATTTAGCTCCAGATGTAGAAGACCAGCCGCTGAATATGAACTCAATTTGCATACAGGCACAAAGTACTCGTCTCCCCGGGCGCGAGGCGTTTAAAACTAACCTCCAACCTGCAATCACCTTGCTTGGCAGCTCACAAAAGAAACACTCATTAAAAGCAATTTGTTCAGCACCGCTGAAACATTCTTTGACCAATTGACATTTAAAGATAATAAAAGCTTATTAGGTGAGCTCATTTCCCCCCCATTCAAGAAGTTAATTGGTCTCAGATGAGTGCTGGAAAGAAAACATAATCCATACATTTACAACCACAACCGGACCAGGTGGTAAAAAGGCGCCTGGAAGCAGATTCACGTTAGTGCCGCAATAAAAACAAGGAGCCCAGGTTACATGTCATCAACCGCCGAAATCACATCACACCGCCGCCATTTGTTCCCAATATATAACTTTATTTAAAATATTGTTACAATTTATTACTCTACACAACATTTTCAAAGCTTTTTTCCCCCATTTTTTTATATTGGTTAGTAAACCTTCATGTGTGTGTTTTTTTTATATAAAACTCCATTTAGTAGCCTGGTTCTGCACCAGGTGTTAATTGACGATGCTCTTCTCTCTCTTAAACAGCTAGTTTCCTTGTGTTAGCTGTACTCCGTACAGCCGCTGCGCACGCACAAGACCAACGGTTTGTACACTATCATTTCCCCAATATGTAGAATTTCTGTTTAAATAAATAAAAGCGTTCAGTTGGAGAAACAACAGTGCATTTGTCCAAGAGAGATGGTCTCTTTTTCTTTTCAAAAACAACTATTTACAGGTTCTGCTGAAGACAGACAAACAAGGCTTAGGTCTTTAATTAATGTCACTGCCTACTCGTCGGGTAAAAGCCCCGTGTTTCAAAGCAATGAGCACAAATTAATATCACCAAGGCCAACACTTTTTTTTTTTTTAGAACTGCTCGTCCATTGGGTCGCTCACGTGTCAAGACCGCTGAAATGGGAAAACCAGATTCTGATTCTGTGCGTGCGTGCGTGCGTTCCAGAGGGCCGAGGGACGCCGAGTGTCCACTTGAAGCGGCGAGAACATCGTAGCGCGTCCGACTGAGCCGACCGCGTCGAGGAGGAAAGAGACGGGCCGGGCGACCTCGAAAAAGGCCACTTCCAACGCCGCCGGAGAATTTAGAGCCAACGGTAAAACCATCAAACACAACATGTGCCGCCGAATGAGGTGGCTGAAATCAAGCGCTCACTCGGCATGAGGTTCCAAATGCGTTACCATAGCAACAGCATCACTCAGATGAGCATTTCAGTGGCGGTTGGGATGAACATGAACTTCCTGAGCCTCACGTGGACGCGTTTAATTACTTATTATCCCGCCTCCATGTCTGCTTCCCCGGCAAGCCTCCTTTTATCTTTCCTGTGCAGAATTCAATCCTTTTTAAAAACAAATTCAAATAACCATTCCCTGACAAGCCGAGGCCGTCCGGCATCTCAAACACTAACAGCAAGAGGTACACTGACGAACAAACACGGGCCGACCACATGAAGACGTGCTCCTTGACATTCCTGTCACCGCTCTGCGTTCACCTAAACACGGCTACAATGACGTTTATCGCACGGATGACAGAAACGGAGAACAACTGACGGTACGCGCACCTGCCTGTGACTGAGACGGAGCGCAAGGTGGCAGCTGGCGCCGACGACACGACCCAAAAACACAGAAATACGGAGGAAACAAAAAGACCCCAGCAGCTTTCTGAAAGCCTATTCACAGTAGCATGAGCCCCGGGGGCCGAGAACAAACGACAAACACGGAAACACTGCTTTTAATACAATATCGGCGGAGTCACTTGACTGACGGGGAACAAGCCAACGGAGGCCGCACTGGGCGTGTTGAGCCAACGTGGCGCTGCCACGGCAACCACAGCCCCCGGTGTTTACAGGAGACCAACCTGGAGTACGAGGAGAGGACAGAAAAGCCCCCACAGACACACACACACACACACTCGCTCTGTCTCCGTCTTACAAAGAAGAGAGAAAAACGTTTCAGGATGGTTGAACAGCTCCAGTTGTTATGTCATCCATCTCTGAAATGGCTTTTATTCTGGCTGTCAAAATGACCATCCAGCAATCTGCACAAACATGCAGCGCTTTTCACAATCCAGCTATCCTGTGTGTGTGTGTGTGTGTTGTTCATAACGGAGGCCGGTCCTTAGAGGTGACAGGATGAATAATAACTACACATCTGGCCATTTTACCGTTTATCAGACCACAAACAGGGGTTTCTCTGTGTTTGTGTCTCGGCCTGCGAACGTTAGCTATCGACAACAGACGACGCCTCCCATTTGTCTCCATCTGTCTGCCGTCCGCGTTGTCTTATGGGTACAAAATCCCATCTTCATTTGCTGGCTCGCACACACCGACAGCTCATCAGACACGTCCAATCAGAGCGCAAAAGCTTATCAGCAATGTCAACGATAAACACAGAGGACGAGCGCACGCGGCAGCGGTGCACACGCACACGACCCAGCGTGCTCCAAGGTAACGGACTGAAAGCAAATCAGGACTGAACCCAGGCATGAATTAACCATTTTATTCAACCGCAAAAACTAAGCTCAACTGCAAATATAGACAGAGAACGAGAGACTAACGGAGAGCTGAAACCTGTGCTTTATGTCAGTGTGAGAAAGAAGAGTAACCGGCAGGACTCGCGCGTTCAGGTTTTTGGTTACTGGAGTGAAGCTCAAGAATGAGTCAGTAATGAGCGGCTGCAAACTACGCCATTAGTGGGATAAAGAAAGCTCTATTGCATTTAAAAAGGAAATCAATACGTTTACGCACATTGTCTGAGAACAAATAAATTGAAAATCTACCAAGAGAAAAACATGTTGGGAAAAAATAACTTAAGTGCTGCTCTAAAAAGAAAAATCGGTGTAGATCAGTCATGTTCAAATACGCACAGCTCGCAACTGTACCAGTGCGAGCTGGTGCATTGCTATGTATGTTGGTTGCAGTCACACAACTGTATGCACAATCTACTCTACACACACACACACACACACACACCCCATCGGTCCTCCTGACGTAGTTATTGGACAGGCTGAAGAGGAGTGATGCTTCTGGGTGGGTTACAGAGCCGGAGGGATCACTCTGGATGGCGCTCGGGAGTTCAATCTTTTTTTTTTCAAGCCTCCAGCTAAAAATGTCCTGCACTCTGCTGCCCTCTGCTGCCCGTTCAAAGAACTGCAACTCAGACAGAACTTGTCTTTTGTCTTTATGTCCACAATCTGTCAGTCACACTGCATGCCATTCTATAAACATTTGGCCCATCGAGTCTTCCTCTCAACTCACGCGCTCTGCAAAATAACCACATTAAAACACTGTCGAGGGGCAGAAATACACAAACGGTCGCTAACAGACGTCTCCTCTCACCAGCGTGGAACAGAAGATGAAAAGTTGAAATTTGTTAGAGCAGCAACGCAGTTAGTGTTTCATTGTGTTAGTTCAAGAAACTTTTTTTTTTATAGCTCTTATATTAATCTATATTTTATCAGAAGTAAGATAAACATACACATAATCACGACCCGTCCCCTCCCCCACACACTTTCTTTACAGCTCCATTTGTTGACTATGTTTTCAGACAAGGGCAGAATACATCTGACCATACGGATTTAAAAAGGAAAAAACCTGAACCTTTTCTTTTGTTGTCCCCGTCAGTGTAAAGCATCCTTTTGCTTTCTTTCTCTGTCACTAAGCAATACAGAACTGAACCCTCCCCCTTCATCCCCCTACATCTCTTCATCCGTATTTCTGTCAGCTCAGTTCAGCAGACGAGAGGCGAGAGCCAATCACCATTGGACATTTCCATCTCACGTGTTGGCTCCCGTGTGGAGTGGCGATGCATTCGTCGAGGTGCTCCCTTTTCCCGGAGCAGTAGTGCCCCGGACCACTCCCTCGCTGTGTGTGTGTGTGTGTGTGTGTTACACCTCTACCGGTGGAGAGAAGCTGCTTGTGTCCTGCCGCACATTGGGGGGCGACCAACAACAAACGCGCTATGGAGATGTAGTGAAAGATATGAAAGTTGGCTGTTGTTTATTTTCCTTCATCTCTCATCCCGCTCTGTGTGAGAGTGTGTGTGTGTGTGTGTGTGTGTGTGTGTGTGTGTGTGTGTGTCCCTGGGGGTCGGTGGAGTCCGGCTATTCCATTCCCGGGTGCGTCCGGTCGTAGTTTTTCGGGGGCCGTGGACGGCCTCAGTCTCTCACTGAGGTCGGCGTTTCGTCGATGGGGCGCTCTGAGGTGGCTATGGAGATGCAAGTGGACCAGTTCTAGTTCGAGTGATGTCATGTGATTTTAGGAAGTTGCGATCTCTCCCCCCAGGTGGCGCCATCCCTTCTGCTGCGTCTCCAGAGGAGGCAGATACTCTGGAACAGAGAGACGATTCAGAGGACAAGTCTGAATGACAGGCCTTCTTGGGGGGGGGTTTGTTATAACATGTGACTTATTAAAAACGGCCAACAACACACATCACTCCATTTTCCCAGAATTCCGACTCTACCTGATTATAAGTGACTGTGATTCAGCGAGTGGCTCGAAGGCATGCCGCAGCCTTCTATTATAAATGGATGTCAACAACAATCTCCCTTTTCTCAGTACTCAGCTGATTCGCGAGTCTCCGTAGCTGCTTCTCCACATTCCTGAGGTGCTGGCCTTGTGCCGTCTCACATGGGACCAGCAGTTCCAACTTCCTTCTAGTGAGCGTCTCTCTCGCAGATGCCCTGATGGCGAGTCACGTGTCTCACACACACCGATCTCCTCACAATAACTGGATAGAACTGGAGTAGAAGTGACTCTTTCCTTGGTGAAGGGCTTTGTGGGGCTCCGTGGGAATCGTCCATAAATGCAGCCTTCTCTCTAATTCATACTTTCTTTGCCTACGCGCAGTTGCTTATAATGCTGTAAGAGCTGCCCAAGACAGATAATGGAGCACAAGCGAATCTGAAAGTACCCTTTCAGTAATTAAATGTCACTGAACTTCAGTTAATTATATGCTAGGAAAAGGTGCACGTTTATATTTGCCTTCAATACACATTAAAAAAAGAAGATAGCATTGTTAAAATTCTCTCCCTGCACCTGCCCTTTTAGATGGTCAGGTTTGTTTTGCATAATTCATGATGCTAGATGGGAGCCGTCACTCAGTACCATATCTGAATACATATTTATTTATAGATGATATCTAGTCTCTTATCATTCAGCGTTAGAGCTGTTATCGCTTTGTATTCAGGACAGAAAATACTCGCTGCTTACCATTGTTACTGCAGTTCTTGTTGTCTTTGTCGGATGCCTCTTCCTCCACCTGACACACAAACAATCATTACACAATAAATGGAAAATCTAAAATTCGGAACATGGTCCAGGCGACGACTTCTTAGGGGTATTTTTGTGTGAGTAGAGAAAAAAAACCTGTAACGGTTGGGCTATGTTTAGAATATCAGACTTGGAATGGAGTCATGTGCTTCCCACAATGAGAGGAAGGAGGAGGAAAGGAGTGGTCCTTACCTGTTTCCTCCACTTCAGCTCACAAAAGACCCGCTCGAAGCACTCGTGCATGTAGTTAAACTGGGACGAAAAGCAAACAGAATTACAAGTCAGCCTTCCAAGGCGCCACAAAGTCACAGTGACGAGGCTGCGCTGGCTATTGCTCTCGTTATTGCGCGTGAAGGAAAGTGTGGCGACAGTCAAACCAATAACGACTTGTTACAACATACTTGTGATTTAAAAAACGGCTTGATCTTCTTTTGCATTCGACAAAGTCCTTAAATATACAAACACGATGAAGACCGCGTTGACGGCGTGTGCCCACTTACATATGGAGTGAAGATCTTGACCCAGCGAGGTTTCTTCTCTCCTCGGGCGTATTCAAAGCAGAAAGCCATCCCCTCCTCGTCCGTGTCCCAGCGCTGCATCTCGGCCCACTCAAACGCTATCACCTGGTTCTGGGGGAGAGAGGTAACAGCAGGTGAGTTCTGGGCAGATATAAGACATTTAAAATACGAAGCTCACAGTTCCCTATCTGGGGAAATTAAATCCATCCAGGAAAAATACATGATTTAATCTTACTGTACACTTTTCACTCATAAACGTTCCATACGATGATATGTAAAGATCTCCATGGTTACCTGGTGGTATTTCTATATTCTCTCACTCACCTCCAGCGTGCCGTCCTCGGTACAAGCGTGCAGCTTGAAGTGATGGATGCTGATCGCTGTGATGACATGTCCTTTCCTTCTGGAGTCACAGGAGCAGTGGGGGAAGGACACCTCGTTGTAGCCCTTGCATGTCCGCAACAGACTCAGGTACTAAGAGTATTGTAGATATAGAGAACGCTTCTGTCACTCATCCTGTGGGTAATCGGGTAACGGCAATCCAAACAACATGAGGAATACAATCACACCTCTTCCAACATGTTTGTTTTGTAAGAGGAAGTTTGAGTGACAAACTAGACCGAATTAGATGGATCTAAATAATATTGATATTTCTGTTGCACTGCCTCACAACACGGCTTTGTTCAGAATCCTTTAGTTCTTTCATGCAAACACTACAAAACATTCTGGATTCTTTGCCTGGTTCAGTTCAGTTCAGTTCCTGATGAATTAAATGTTGTTGTCCGCCTGAACATCGCTGAATTGGCAAACGTTTGGCGACGTTGTGCAGGGTGGCTGCATAGCTGTGGTGATGAAGTTTAATTCAGACACAGAGAAGCCTTCAGACTCTCTCATTCCACAGTTCGGTCAATGTTCACCGAGCATCTATATGAACTCAACAGCTCGATCTCTGTTCAGACCACTGAAGGGCCTTATTCTTATTTATTTTTTGGTAACGTTTTGGTGATGGCTCTGGTCAGTGGGCAAAAAGTGCAGTCCCCCCAATCCCCTCCCTGAACAAAGAGGGGTCTGTAGGACTGACCGTGGCCATCTTGCGCTGCTCTGCCAGTTTCTGCAGCTGGTAGGATTTGTCCTCTGTTTTTATGAATCCCTTCTTCACATCTTCCAATGCCTGGACGGTGGTTGGGAGGGGAAGAAGTCACAACACCATTTATTATTCCAGTTCACCTCCACAAACATAATTATACATACAAAACATTTCGCAAATATATATATATATATATATATCCTGCCTCAAGTACCCTGGTTCGATCAATGCTAGCAATCAAATTACAATGTCACTGGTGTAACAACTAGTTTAAACTGATTGTTTGGCTGATTATCAGCAGACGAAATTGCTGTTATGGTTCACGATGAACCTCCCATGCCTAAAAGGTGCAACCGTCCTTCTACAGCTGCCGGCTTGTACACCGTTGCCTTTATGTTCTTGTGCATTTCTATTAGAGGAATATTTGAGTTCACAGTAAAACTCGAGTTACCACCAACTAGGAGGAAATAACATGTACGCATCGCCTCGGAGTGTGTTCACACTGAACGCGGTCGCCCCGAGGAACCATTTAATGCCAGGTCCCCTTTTGCTCCATGGCACGGGGGACTCAATTAGTGGCATTACCTGGTGAAAGCAGTAGTGCAGCGCCAACGGGTTGTCTCGTAGCAGCTCCTCCTCCTGGAAGCTGAACAACCATTTGCGGAGCGCCAAGCAAGTCCCCGGCACTGCTGACGTGTAGTTCTGCACATAAAGCTTGTGGGGAAACTCATTAGGAACCAGCTTCCGCACTGCAACAGATAATAGAAAGGATTGGGTGGAGGAGGGGTATGAAAAGGGGGAGGGGGGGTCAGTTCAGTCGCTAGGATATAATTAATTCTGGCCTGTACAAAATGACCTGGCCTTGCTGTCTGAAACGGTGCTCAGCCCTAGGCCCAATGAATTAAAGTAACCAGTGCAATGGTGCAGGTCTAGTGATCATGTGATAAGTCAACAAAACAAGGCTTTGAATGAGACGGGACATGTGAAACACTCATAGAAATCATGTGCACATTTAGATCTTACCAAAGGAGTGGTTGATGACTTCAAAAAGGGCAAAGTAGCTCGCCATAATACTGTCCATTCCGACCTTCATCACCAACGCCTTCAGAAGACACACAGTCAGTTACGTCAGGTGAACATTGTTTGACCACTTTTTATGTATCTGTTCCAAGTTTGTTTTTTCTCCCTAGTAGCATGAATGCATGGTCCACTAGCCGGGAATACCAAACCAGTAGATACGATATGACTTTTGAGGTCCTCGGTGTCATAATTCTAGCTGAGAATGCAAATGCGAAAACAAATTGGGAGGTCCAAAACCACTGGGGAAATGTACTGTCCAATGACAGCATGATCCCAGCAGATGTCATGTGACCTTACCTGGTACACCTGATCGGTGGTGCTGTTCTTGCGTACTCTGACGGAGATGGTGGTCTTGTCTGGAAGGGCTATCCGCAGCTCTACATCCGTCACCCCATTGTAGTTCTGCACAGCGAATGAGAACAGCAGATGCTAAATGCACCATTTTCTTTAGGACTATAACTAAATAATTAACCTCTGGTGCTTTTTCATGGCAAATAGTCTACTTTGTAGCACTGACAAAGAGGTTGACGGATATATTCAGAACTTTATCACAAGTATCCAATTCCCCAAGAAGTCTTGAATATTTAACTTTTAAAAGCTCACAATTAAAAATGCCCACAGAAATAGCTAAAGCCAAATGCATTGAAGACCGTAAAAGAAAAATAAAGAAGGATTTTTTTACCTCATCTGATTCAGAGAGAAACTCCTGCATGATGTCACTCTCCCCGACAACCCGCACAGAGCAAACTAGAGGCCGATACAGACGGAGATGAAGAGCGCAGGTCAGCGTAACTCATTTAAGCATGCTTTGATTAGATTTATAGTATTCAATGTATGGCAGAAAATTAAATCACAGCCGGAACTTTTTCTACCCGAACTACATTATTTGTACACATTCAATGATTTCTTTCTGTTCTTTTCTTATGGCCATTACAGACGGCTCACAACATCTCGTGGTACACGTGTGGATAATTAGAGACAAATTGCCTTTGTCTCTGAAGCGCCAGCGGCCTCCCGTATCAGCCTACCTCGCTCGAGATATTCCTCCAGGCCTCTGCGGCGAGCATCCAGCTGCTGTTCGGACAGGGAGAAGGGCCATTTACCGGGGAGCTTTGGGAAGTTGAAGTTAGAAAATTCTCTCTTGAGGTTCTGGTGCAGGATGGCAAACTCCCGGTAGCGCTTTGAGCACAGCTGTCTACCGGACATGTACACGTTGTACACCTGTGGCCATTAAGAAAACATTATTAGTTTAAAGGCACAGCCGCAAGTGGCTTTTAAAGAAACAAAGCGTGTGTGTCAGACTGGTACCCACCACAAACCTCTCCGAGTGCTGCTCTACGTGTTTGTACGTGGGAATGGAGATGGGCACAGCCTGCTTGTCGCTGTAGTCATAAGTGATTTGGACCTCGTCTCCTCCTTCCAGTCCGTCGGCCTCCTGAGCTGGGACCGACAGCACAGCCAGAACCAGCTCCTTCTCCCCTGCACGGATGAGGTCCACCACCTGCTTGTGGGTGGCACCTTCCACGCTCACCCCATTCCTAGAGGGGGAGGGAGAGAAGGAGGGGGGGGGGGAAGACAAAAGGAAAGTTGAAAGTTTTCCCACCTTTTTGTCATTTGATTAATTCATGTTTTTAACGTTATATAAATACAACAACAACAAGAGTCATCACAGAGCTGCAGTGCACACAAATATAACAGGGCTGCAAATACGCGTCCTGCTCTTTTGACTAATCATGGTGTCTGGTAATGTCAGCGCATTTGGTCCTCTGTTGAGAAAACACAATGTTGTGTAAGTAGGTCAGTTCTAACGTCTCCCTGTCCTTTGGTGCCGTGAGACACCTCCCTTCTTGGCTTTGCAGAGGCCAGATGGCTCCAGCATCAGGTGTCTCTGCTAATCGCCCGAAGAGAAACAGCAGGCAGACACAGGTGAGGACTGAGAATGTGAGAGTCGGTCCACCGTATGCCATGTCCTTCTCGTTGCTTTTAAATGTTTTATCTGTCTGGAATCACGGATCGATGGGGGAACGAATCTAACGTGGATGAAAATGACCAACAATGGAAGGAATGGGAATAGAAGTAGAGAACAGAAATAGAATAGACATTGACATGATGGCATTCCTCAGAGTTGTTTAACCGGACAGCAAAGGAGTGGGTGGTGACCAAACACGTGAAGATAAAAGTTTTGCTCCAAACTATAATCTGATCCCATTATCCTCTTATTAGACAAAACAGCAGCAAAGCAACATCTGGCAGAAAGGTGCCACAATAGCCACAAAATTGGAAACACTGGTTAAATGCTGCAATAAGTATAAATTACCTAAAGTCTACAGCAAAAGTGAAAATTAACTTCAAAGCAAGCAGCTATTCAAATAACTTAATGAGAGTGTGATTATTTTCTCTGAATAATAAATCAAATAGAAGATAATAAGAAAAATGATTAGATTATATATGATCAAAACTTGTATTAATGAAAAGCCAAATGACACTTTCTTTTTTGTAAAAAGGTGACAGTGAAAATCTTATTCTACACAAACAACGATGCTGATGTTTGACATTCCTAAATAGGCTGACTCGTCTGAGTTTTTGCAAAATGTTGGATCTGGTTAATAAGTCACATGATAAGTACTGGTATTGTCACATGACCACAGAGAGAAAGGTTGAGAGGAACTTTTGATGCCTCAGCAAGTCAATGTTGATTAGGAATCAGGAATCAGGAAACATTCGTTTTAGTGTTCCTTGTTTTCAGGTTTCTCTTCTCCCTTTGTTGGAGTTTATCGTTTGACCGAGTCACAGTACAAGAACATGTTTAAACTGCTCAAACCCTGAAGTTAAAAGCGTATAGGCCACACACACACACACACAGCATAATTATACACCATTCGTTACTATTAACATTATTCCAGCATTTTCCTTTTATTAAGGAGGGAACGTTATTGATAGATCTATTATATTTTGATCCATATAAGCAGGTGAACTGAAGGAGAATCTGCAGCAACACCTTTTTGACAATTATAATGTATTACAGGTCTCACTTATAAAGTTATAGGTTCGAAGAGAACTTTAACAAATGGGTTATTTTCAGCAAGATCTCGACAAGGGACAGTTATTCTTATTATATCGAAACCATTTAGGTACATTTATTGGACATAAAGACCACAACTGTACCGTGTCCGTGCTCAAGTATTCTCAATGCGTGTGTCTTCAAGACAAGATGCGTGGACACGCACCATTAACGTTAGCTAATCACATATGGATTTGCGCCATTGGCGTCCAGTGTCTTCGGGCAGGGTCAAAAACACACAACGCTTCCATCATGCACGCAACAAAAACGATGTCAACAAGACTGTGGTTTATTTTTTCCCGTCGCTACGACCCCGCCGAGAAGCAGAGCGAAGCTAAACGACGCGTTAGCTTCCCGGCTCGCTGAGCTAGCGGAGGCTAATCAACATGCAGGGCTTGTTGTCCAACTTATGTAAGCTGGTTAGCTTCTCTCACAAGCCTCTAAGCGTTAGCTCGGTGACGCTACACCTCCCCAAGACGTGGTTAGTTACCGGGACAAATAACGAGCCAGCCGGGTGAACGGTTTCACGTTTCTTCTGTGTCATACAGACGGTGACGTCGCGTTGCGGGCGATAGCTCGCGTTAACACACGGGCTAACTTTGGGTAGCTAGCGCAGGTAGCTAGCCGTAGCGGCTAGCGGTTACCTGGCCGCCGCCGAACCGAGAGAGGCTGACTTACACTTCCAGGATCCGGTCGCCCTTTGAAATCCCGGCTCGGTCCGCCGCTCCTCCGGGCAAAACAGCGCTGACGTGCTGGAGAGGAGCGTACAGCTCCCCGTTGATGCTGCGAAGCTGCCCTCCTTCGCTCACTTGACCGCGGACGTTGAACCCGTAGCCGGACTCGGACTTGACGATCCTCACCATCCGCGGACCCGACGTGGCGTTGACCACACCGGCGGCGGCGTTCTGGCCCGCGGTGCCCGCAGAGCCGACGACCGGACCGTTGCGCGATGCCGAAGGGGGAGCCGACCGAGTTTCGTCGTCTTCTGCATCCGCCATCTTATCCAAAAAGGCCCCGAGCCCCCCTGTTACAATCGGTGTCTTATCGTAAATTCAAAACAACACTGGAGCTCCGTCCCGCAGAGAGCGTTAGCGCCACAGACCGCCGTCGATAGCCCGCCCCTCGGTAGCCAGACGCGGCCCCGCAACGTGACCGGCCGGAGGCGTCACTCAAAAGTCCGCTCCGTCTATCTGCTCCATGCGAAGTTATTCATTATAGCGCTAACAAAAAATCAAAAGAGAAACAAGAAAACGGATTATTGATTATTTTTAAACTTGATTCGTTATTTATTTTTAGAAGTGACCTTTTTTGCCTTTTTTATTTTTTAATTGAACCCTGAATGAGTATTATATTATTATTATTATTATTATTATTATTATTATAAGTATTGGTAAAATATATTCTCAAGAATTGATTAGTTGACTTGTGGCACGGTACTAAAAGTGATGTCAATGGCGGATATTATTTGGCTTCTGCTCAGACCCCATTTTACCCTCATTACTCATTTATAAACAGGGAGTTGTAACCTGTGCGTCTCAGTGCTTCAGTGACACACTGAGTCATTGTGGACTTGCGTCCAACACATTGATGTTGAAGAAAGAACAAAGTCTACAGGCAAATAAACTAATTAAAATCATAAATGGACACTTAAAGAAACATTGTACATTTGAAAATACTTGATTTGAAGCTTCATCTCTTTTTCTTTGAAAATGGAAACCAGAGAAATTACAACTTAACTGATGAGCGACAATCAAACATATACATTTGCTCATAATATTAAAGAATTGTATAAATCCATGTGTTGATCCATATACATTTTATTCACCCATCCATCAGCACCCCTCGCTACATCCTCTCATCCAGGCAGCCCGGTCTGCCATGCACGAGTTGAGAGGCGGGGTGACCAGTTAAGGCCCTGGGCTGTGCACAATGTAACTGGGGCACTCACATGTGAGTCCCACACAGGAAAACATGCAGACCTCCATGCAGAACAGCTGCCATAGAGATTTGAACCCAGGACCCATTGAGGACCCGTGAGCCGTTGTGCGGTCCAAAACATCACATTTGATATATTTGAATCACTTCTCTTCATTTGAATCTGCTGTTAACGTCATTTCAGAAAACAAAGCAACTCCATAAGCTCAATGAAGGGAGTCTATGAGTACACAAGATACCCAAAGTTACAGTAGTATATTAAAACTGTAGTCGACAATTACAGAGTAATGAAGAATACTAAAATGTAACATAACTGTTTCATAAGCAGAGAAGTACGATAAAGTCGGCATTGTTTGCCAATTAATCACAATGAATAAGTAAACGTTATACACAATAAGCTATTACAATACACTAGACGAAGTAAGACTTTAACATGAAACCGTACAAAATGACGTTATTGCTTATGACTTTACACTCCACAAATTAAAGTCCTCAACCGTGGTTTAAATAGAGGGCTTTGTTAAATTACAACCTTTCCTTCTTCTTAACCTGTGGTTATATTGTTCCTTTCCTGAAGTTAAACCAGCTGTAAGCTTTTAAGGCATAAAAGCTCATTGTCAACATCACTTCAAGTGTTTTTTGGCAGGTATCATAAACGTACTTGAACTATATGACCTGACACGCTTGTGCAACTATGTAATGTTGTGATAAATATAGTTCCACTGACCACAGAGTAACAGACAAAGGGCTTTTCGAAGAAATACGTTTATTTCATTGTGCGTTACAATATAATATTTTGAGCCTTCGTGTTGATTTAGTTAATAGGAGAAAGTTAGCGGTCACAGGAGGGCAGCTCTCTGTAATGGCCCCAAGATGGCGCTGGATCCCTATTTTTTGCAGAAGTGTTCGTGGCACAGCACGGTGAGGCAGCTGACCATGTTGGAAAACTCGTTAAAGTCCACACTGTTGTCCTGGTTGGAGTCCAGGCCCTTGAAGATGCGGTCCACCGCCGCCTGGTCATTGGTTTTCTGCAAGTAAGGAAGGCAGAAGAAAAAAATGTTGTGCGACCGGAGAGTTCTACTGGCTTCGATGTCGTACACTTTCTATCAGGAGCATTCACCGATCACAACGTAGCACCACGGACGGCAGAGAGGTCAAAGGTCACTCACCCCGAGCAGATCACCAAATTCATTCTGCAGCAGCTCTTTCAGCTCTCCCTTGGTCAGGGTGTGCTTGTCCCCCTCCTTGCCGGCGTATTTATCAAAGACGCCAATGAGGAGGGCCATAGCCTTCTGGATGTCAGACATGATGATTGCTGGTTGAAAGGGACAGAAAGAGTAAACCGTTCAGTTTGACCCATGATATTTTCCCTCACGTCCCTCACCCCGTCCTGCATTGCTGTGGTTGCACAGGTGAAGGTCAGGCTGGTACTTTCCTTTCCCTAAATACCTCCAGGTCACGCGCTGGAGAAGTTGCTAAAACATGGCGCTTTCTTTAAATGCCGCTGTGGCTAAAAACAAGGTCTAGGTCTGGTAGCGTTCGCCGACGCGCACCATAAGGGATCCTGTGGCTTTGTGGGCAGATTTGGAATGTTAACAACGGACAGCATTTATACACAACATGAGGGAATGTTTTTGGAGGGGACGAAAAGGGAAAACATCTGATATTCGAGTCTGCTTCACCATTGCGGCAGTTTTGATATTTAGCTTTTTAATCTTGCTGAGCTTTAAGTTCCTAATGTATTAATATACCATCATTATTAAGAAAAGGGTCTCATTCTCCCCGGTCAACGGCCCGCAGTGCAAACTCCCCGCCGAACGGCACGGGACGTCGTTATGGCAACAGCTTATTCCCTCAAAGTTAACTCAGTCCAACGAAGACTTGATTTCTTTCCACTGACGTCGTGAGCCCGAGGGAGTTGGTTCTGGTTCCCTCCTGACTCACGTGGGGCTGCTGCCTCTCTGGGGTGTGGCGAGCCGAGGAGACTGTGGCGGCAGAGGGTTTGTAAACACGTTGGAATTGTGCGAGCAAAACAAATTCCACCTTTCTGTTTGTTTGTCAGTTAAAGCGGAATCGGCAGAATGCATCGGTGAAAGGACGTTGCAGGCCTTAAGTTATCCAAACAACCGGCATCAGAGCTAAATGAGCGGCGCGTTTTTTACAAGAAGCACAGATAGAAAAACAAATAACCCTAAATGTGTTGTGTTCAAAAGAATATCCTCTCACAAAAAGTTTTTGGTGCCTTTATTTAAGTCAGCGAATGAAATCAAACAACAGACAAAATAATATTTTCTACTCACCAAAGCTGATTCGAAGAGACTTATAGAGACTGGAGAGTAAAAGTCAGAGGAGCTGTAGTGATGGAAAAGGATGCAAAGGATGCTTTATAGTCCGCCACACCTTCCTCCCTCCCCTCCTCCCCCCCCCCCCTCCCTTTTCATCTCCAACCACTCCCACGTCTCTCCTCGTGCCCTGTTGGCATGTTGTCATTTCCCAAGTTATTTTTTAAGAAACAATGGATTTATTATTGTAGCTTAGAAAATCACCATGAGACTGCCGATGGTTGTGGGTGCTTGTTGTTTGGCAGTCTGCTTTCAGTCGTTACACACTTGATGTGTGCAATAAGTAGTCAGATAAATGCAGTGCATGTTTTGTTTTTTAGAATGATTAATGGTAGCATTAAAAACAATCTCTCCAGTGTCACAACCAACAAGAATGCATGTGAACTTTATTTCTATTAAGAGCATGAAATATAAAGAGAAAATGCATCAGTGAGCTAGATCGTCTTTTTTTAAGCGAAAAAGGTTTATGTGCCACCTCATGCTTGTTACAGCTACAGTATAATTTCAGGCAATTTAGTAATTTGCTAGAATTCTCAAGACATTAGTTTGGTGTATTGTTAGTTATCTTGTTTTTTCCAGATAGAAATACTTTGCAGAGAACATTCACTGCCTTTATCAGTTCAAAACCTGCATTTCATTTGCATTTCTCTTTTTTGTTGAAGATGTTCTGTAAGCTGATGAATTGAAGGATGCAGAAGTTATTATGTGGACTGAATCACTACTTGTATTGATGTGGTCACATGCAGCTGCTCTATTTAGAAACTAAAAATCCACAGCTCCAGATAGAGTCAGCAGACAAATGTCGAATCTGTTTTGAAATGTTTTAAGTAGGTCTCTTTTTTTCTCTGCAGAATAATTCATCTTTAATATTTGCCCATTTTTGTACATTTTCAAACACTGACTTTCCTGAAGACCAAGACCAAATGTGACGGGATCTTTGCTGCAAAGCGAATCAAACCAATGAATAAGCGCTAGTTTTGTATATTTACAGTTAAATGTGGACAATATTTCTATCCAAGCACAATGACGTGTATTGTACAGACTTATTTCTTGCATTTTTTGTATTGTATTTGTCTTTTTAATTGATGGAGATGCATGTTTCCAAAAGTAAAACATTTGGGCACAGTGACTCATTGTTATGATCTTGAGTGGGTCCTCTCTTCCTTGCAATTTTGTGGTGGAGGCAGTGACTCAGAGGCCTCGTCCCTGCCCATGAGTCATGCTGCAGAGACCACGAATCAGAGACGTGAGACTGATCACTGTGGCAACTCGCGATGTGTGTGTGGCCCGTTGCATGACTTAAAGTTTGAGATATAAAAGGTCTTTTCCTGTCTCTCCTCTTTGGTCTGGGTGCAATTGTTTGGTCTCTAATTAACAACTTCAATGAAAGTACAGTAGTACTGATCATAGGTTGGAACTCCAGGCAGCGACATTCATGACTTCTGCAACTGGATTTAAGATTTCTGCATTGGACTGTGCTTATTCACCGAGTGGAAAAAGTTGGTCAACATTCCTCCCTGCCCTTCTTACTCAATCAGATTGACCGGGGAGGGAGGGCGTATCCTTGGAAACCACATTTTGTAAAGTATCCAGCTCTGACTAACATGAAACTATTTGCAGCTATCGAACGTTAACAGCCAACATTATGGATGCGGTTCCTCTTACGCCATCTGGTGGTCACGCGGAAGCACTCTGAGGAGTAAGCACAGAGTTACAGGGTCTCTCCTCGCCTCGTGCTACCACCCACAGCCCTTCCCAACTTAACATCCACACAGCAATGAGAAATACTGGAGTCATAATGAGTCTCCACAACACATCCTCCAGCACCTTCAGAGGACTTCAACCAGTCGTTTTACTTCAATAGGCAGCATTTTAAAGACACAATGGGGAAAAGTTAGGGCATGACAAGGAGCAAAGCTCACGTCTAAGCGATTGCAAAGAGTTAACAGAAAATAAGCACTTTTCACATTGTCATATTACCCGCTGCCACACGATCACAATAGTTTGTAATTTTCCATGCCAGCATTCACAAACCGGATGTTGGAAAGGTGTGTTCAGAACATTGCTGTTATTGCTTAACAAATGGAATCGTCCGCAGAGAGAGGTTGTTCTTCCTGTGTGTGTGTGTGTGTGTGTCTGTGAGTGTGTCCAAAGAAGGTGCGGCAGGCTTTGGCAAATGTCTGCTTATCTCTGAAGGCCAATCATTGCACATTGTTCAATGTGTGTCGGTCGATCCCCACAGGTCATGCGTCTCTCACTTCATGCCTGGAGAGAGCTATTCATCCTCACATGATGATCGTATGAAGGCCACATGATGAACAAACAGCATGTGCAATTTGTCGATGAATTCAGCGCACCTTAACCCTTAAAGAGAAAACCGTCAGCAGAGTGGGAAATCCTCTCTGCAAACTCAGCTGCGAGTCACATGGGTGTGGTGCTTGTGTAAACACAGGGGGGGGCAGACAGACACACACCCTCGCAACTTTGTAACCCAGCAACTTGAATGTTACTCCTGTAACTATGCACAGTACAGGGCTGTGCCTGAGGAGGGTGTGTGCAGAGGTTCAGGAGCGCACATGTCGCCCCGAGTTTTGTCTCCCAGGCAGGCCTGTTCTCTGGCAGTTATGGTTCTGGTGACATCACTGAGATGGGCAGAGCCTGACCTCAATGGTTGCTCCCTGTATTACAGGATACATATTGCTATCATGTATGACTAAAACATGTGATTGGAGGAGATGGTCAGAAAAGAGCCGGAGGAGAAGCCAATCTCAGGGTCAGAGGGGAGGGTGGAAACATTGGTGTACTGACGCGCCGTGTGACACGTGACTCAACAACAACGTGCCCAGGAATGTCCTGTTCAAGACAATCAATCGACAAGAATGCCACAATCTTTATTCGTTTACAAAGCAGCCGACCACCTTGTATTCATCTGTGCGTGAAGCGTGACTCAGAAAGGTGCATCCCCGACCAGAACATTCTGCACATTCCTCACAGCGGCGATAAGCAGAACATTATGGAGCTGGGAGGGAGGGGCTCGTCTGCACTTTTACACACAGGAAAACAGAAATTGCAGGTGGTGGTTAAAGCATCACGTCTTAGTGTTGATGGCATATTGATCGCAGGAATGAGCTTCTCCAGGGTGTGTGTTTTGGACAATGGAACACATGGGGAGGAGCCATTTTTCTATTCATTGTAGGAAAAAAACAAAAGAAAGTAAAACAGGCAGAGGTGCTCTAATGTTTAAATAACCACCAGACACAACAGGTTTGAAATTCTTCATTGTATTTAATGAACAAAATTATCTTTATACAAATCTAAATGCCTTTTTATAATCTGCAGATGTTACAATTTACTTCCTGGCCATTTTCATTTCCCTCTGATAGCACTGCTCACAGGCGATAGAAAGTCCGACAACCAGGGAAACAAACTCCTCAAAGTCAACCTTGCCATCACCGTTGCTGTCCAGGTCCTTCATGATTTTGTCCACTGCAGCAGGGTCCTTCTGAGACTGGGTGGAAAAAAGGGTCGTGGCGTGAGCTTCATCGAGAACACTTTGTGCCGCGTTTAACAAATCAGCACGTCCAAGCCCTGGACTTAACAGGTTTGGTCCCTTCTCACCTTGAGGAAGGTAGACAGCTCGTTCTCCATCAACTCCCTGAGATCTCGTCGGCTCAGTGTGACGCTCTTGCCGTCCTTATTGGCGTAGCGGTGGAACACCTTGATGAGTGACTCCATGGCCGTTTCCAGTTCTGAAGGCATGGCTGCTGAGATGGGTTCGGACTGGGGGGGGAAGGAGCAGGCATTTGTTTATTATGAGAAATGATGCCATAGAGTTCAGCCGGACAATTTCAGGTTTAACTTGAGAAGAATGGAAAAGAGGTTATTTGTTTTATGGTATGAAGATGCTGATGAGTTAATCTACGGGCATGAAAGCGCACGGCGGAGTTCACAGGCCGGCTGATCCCTTCTGTGTAAACAGTCTCCTTCTTTTGCAAGACACAACAGCTGGATGGACACATCTACCATCTGCCACCTCACCTTCAGTGAGACAGCTTCTTCCGAGGATCTCATAGAGAAAATATTCTATGTCTAGGAGGATATTATTGTAAATCCCCAGTAAAATACTGGCCGCTGCATGCATCACCCATGGGTGAGCTGAGGGCCAAACTCAGTTTTGGAGAAGAGGACAGTTCCAAGACATTTTAGGAGGACGTTGATTGGGCAGGCACACCTTTCTCTCCACCTCATCGCCCTTCCACGCGACGTGTAACACTCATGAGTGTGAGGTCTGTCGTCATAGGCTGTTACGAATGTTATACAAAAGAAGAAACCACAAAACCCAAAAGGGTCCGCTCCGTCTCCGACTGTTGCTGCACGAGTGCAACAGTACAAAAGGAGAAGTGGGAGGGAAAACAGGGGCTGTGTGTTATTAGAGTTGGAGCGAATGGAAAAGTTCAGCTGAATGAGGGACAAATGTGCAGACACACAAAATGGTGGTGGTATTTCCACAGAGTCCAACCACACCCTTCTGTGGAGCATATAGGCTGTATGGACCCGACAGGGTTGACATTAAAAACAAATAGCAATAGGAATTCTTTTACAAGAATTTATAATAAACAAACGAGAACTCAAAACTTATGAAAAGTGAAAAGGACATCACTTGACTACATTGCGTAATCATTCAATACATAGAAATAAAGAACACCAGCGTGCAGTGAAATAATAATATAATTATGATGTAACAGAAACCATATTCAGAATACACAGACACTTTGATTGGCAGATTAAAGAAATGTGACACTCCTCATTGATGTTCCGGACGGGACCGGCGCATACCGACAGTTCTTACCGTGCAGGGCGGGACGTGGTCGGCAGAGGAGAGGTGGGAATGTTCAGAGGTCGGGAATAAAGGCAGCTTTTATAGTCCGACACCGCCCTGCGGAGCAGCGAGTCAAACGGCGGCGTGTCGGTGGGCGTGGGCGCCGTAGAGGAGCGAACTTCAGATTATAAGGTCGGGAGATGTTGGACTCATTTAGAGTTCTTCTTCAACAACACGATCATGGCGATAATCCACAGGTACGATAGGATATAGGGACAACCACAGGAACTCGTGGAAGCCCGATGGATTCATGCAGCGTGATTACTGATCGACTAATCGATCAGACGGCTGTTCACTAATGTTGAATGGCAGATAGAGGGAGAGAGAGGGGGAGAGAGAGAGAGGGAGAGGGAGAGATCTGCAGCTTTGTTTCAGACACACAAAGTCTCTCAGTAGATGAAACCAGGTGCAGAACGTCCAGGAGGCCTTTTTGCTTGTTTTGTTTCGGTTCACTTTTCTTTCTTCTCATCGTTGCTCCTCTTTATTTGCTCCTTGAACCCAGCTGTTCATTTACTTGTACATTTTGTATAGTTTACCGTTTGTTTTTTCACCTGTCCCACAGGCAAGGACTGCTGACTTAAAAATCAGCTTACGTTCTGCACTATTAATGTGATATTATTACAAAGCATTGTTTTTGTAAATACACTTAACCATCTTCAGAGGGATCGCTATTATTTTCGTATTACATGCAGCTCGGAGAGAACCCCGCCGACCCCCCCACACACGGAAGCGCTCGATCAGTCAACAACAAATGGGTTTATTTATTTTGCCAGGAGATTCACATATTAAAGACATGCACGAGGAGCCCCCCAATACGCAATTCAATTAGAGACTGTTTTGCAATACATCACTTGCAGTAGTATTTTTTTTTTTTTTTAATAAAAGCTTGTACTTTATTGGACTGATTTAGCGAGTGTCTTCTATATGTTAAGCGTCAATGTCTGTATTACCAAGCATTGCACGTTTATTGGGGTACGACATGATAATATCAGCGGGGATCCGAGCTGCGCGTCACTGAGCGCCTGACCTCCAAAATGAAACCAGCATTTCTGAGACTCTTGCGCCGCTCTGTGTCCAGCTAAAGGCATCGCACCTGCTTTCCATCCCTGTGCAGTATATCAGATTGTCTATTATTGTGTCTACGTGGAGACGGCGAGGCGAATCACTGAGAAGCAATGAGGACAATTTGAGGACAGCTGTGAAGGCTAGCATGCACTGTACAAAAAACCCTGTAAAAAGGTCAAATGAATGCGAAAACCATAAATTTACCTTAATTTTCATTTACGGTTATATAGATAAATACTGTTATTTTACAGATGATTCCTGTAAAATTATGATCAGACAGCTTCAATTAAGGTATATTGCTAAAAATTCTGCAGCTAATTTTTTTTATTTTACCGATTTTTCCTGTTTTATTATGATGAAACACCTTCAATAAAGTGATATCGCAAAAAGTTCTGCAGTGAAACACTTTTCTTTAACAGACTTTCCCAGTATTATTATGTTCAAACACCGTCAATAATGTCATTTCTCTAAAGGTTCTGCAGTAAAACACTATTATTTTACAGATTCTTCCTGGTTTTTTTATGATGAAACTGTCACGGTTAGGTTAATGTCTGGTTTTATTTTGTAGTTTCTTGCCTCTGTTCTCCCTGGGTCATGTCACTTCCTTCCTTGTCCTGTCCTCCTTTGTGATTGTCTGTCATGTCATGATTGTTTCCACCTGTGTCCAATCACCTGCACCTCCCTAGTGTATTTAAGCTATGTGTGTCTGTTGTCACTTGTCGCGTCATTGTCTTTGGTCACGGATGTACCTGTCTATCGTCCTGGATGGTCCTCGGTCCTGCCTGCCTTTTTGGCCCAAGGTCCTGTGTGTGTTTTTGCCCGTTGGCCTTTTGCGTTTTTGCATTTTGACTATTAAAGCCCTTTTTGTTTCCCGCAATCTCTGTGTTTGAGTCCTGCCTTTTTCCCCACGCAACATCCCTGGCAGAAACACCTTCAAAAAAGTGATATTACCAAAAGTTTTGCAGTAAAACACTGTTATTTGACAGATTTTTCCTGAATTATTACAATCAAAACCTTCAATAAAGGGATACCACTAAAGGATCTGCGGGCAAAAACTGCAGAGGTTTCCCATCTAAATACAATCAAAATCAAACACCTTTAGCGATATGACTAAAGGTTCTGGACTAAAACACTGTTATTTTACATTCTTCCTGTAACAGGCATTCTCATAAAATATAAGCTTTTCATTTTACTGTGAAAAATACAAAATAAAGTGATATATCTAGAAGATTTTCAATGGTTCAATTGAACTAGGAGTTGGACACTGAATTACAAATACAGTACATGCCATTATTCATTTTAAAACATTTTTTTTCAACCGATTATTTATAAACTAATATAATCCGGGAAGAATTAAAAAACTTTAAAATGGCATTTCTCCATCTTGACTGTTATTTACTATCATGATGAGGTGTTGACTTCACCATTGAAACAGGTGGAGAAAGCAACACATGCTGATGGGGTGGTGTTTTTTTTTTTTCTTGCTTGTGTTTTCCAATTCAGTATTATATGGTTTTCCTTAATATTCTCCAGATCCCAGGTTCCTCCATTTAATTCTGATAATATATGAGGACAAACATTACACTTTTAATCCCGAATCCCAACTAGGCAGTGTATTAATGAGTCAAATCAAAACATACCGCAAAAGGTCAATGAATCTTTACCAAGTGACAGTGCAGATAAAGAACAATATTCCAAATTTCCAGTCATAAGCCCAATCCTTGGTGCATCTGGGGAAACAAATGAGAAAAAGGACAAAGATTCATTGAAAAAAGGCTTTTATTTTTTACCTTTCCTTTAAACACTTTTATCAGATGTATCATAGCAAGGTTAACACACTTGGAGCTAAAAAAACCCAAACAAGCAAATTGACACATCAAAATCAATCCAGCCACCTATAATTGTATTATCTATAGCTATGTTTACCATGTATCTTGTGTGCAAAAAAAAAAAAAGATTGATCATGATGAAATGTCTTTGAAAAGTATGCCAGCTCTATGGTGGCCCTGAGAGCTCAACACTCTTACCATTATATCCGCCAATCCGTCTGTCCCCCCCCCCCCCCCCAAGCTGTAACGTAAGGGGACCATATAAGCATTACCCTATATGGTTGTCAGTGGTGGTGAAGGTAGGGGGGGGGGGGGGGGGACCATTTACAAAGGAAGAATTGTCTGTAAGGGGAATATTTAAGGGAGAAAGTCTCCCGGGGAAATTGGGCTCACTGTAACCCCTACCACGGGATATTATTTTTATTTATAATAACCTATATGAATATTTGCCCTGTGCCGGAACAGCTGTCTCCGGGGTTACTGAATCTTCAACACCTCCCTTGAGAATTGCCCGTTCCAGCCTGCTTTCAAGGCTCCACCATATTCCTGTCCCCAGAAAGCCCAGGATCACAGGACTCAATGACTACCGGGCTGTCCGCCTGGACCTCTGTAGTCTGGAAGTCTTTTGAA